GGGCAGTCACAGGGGGCGGCGGGGAAGGCCTGCAGGGACCCAGCTCTGCTCACCTGGTGAGGGATCTGGTGAGAGCTATGCTGCTGTTGCTGCTCTGGGCGATGGGAGGCGAGGCTGCCAGACTGACCGATGTGGTTTCTGTCACAGATTCAGCCGTGTACGGTGACATCAGTTCAGTCATACCTGTTGTCTCCAGTTCAGCCGGGTGTGTTGTCACAGGCAGAGCTGCATGTGTTAACAACATAAGTTCAGCCATGTTGGTTGACACAGGCCTAGCCGTTTTGGGGACCTGGGTACAGGCGTGTCTGCTGTCTGTGCGTACGTTTAGAGGGAGCGAAGAGGGGGTTGTTTCCCTGATTCCCCAAATGGAGACAAGACCACAGGCTCAGGAAGTGGACCTGGGGGAAGGGCTACCACCTGATTCTCCTTCCGGGTCTCTGACCCCAGGGGAGCTCAGGTACTTCCGGGCCAGGTGTGGCTGAGCCCAGAGGCCCTGTCAGGGCTCAGAGGCAGCCCCTGCCCCATGGTGAACCCTTCCCTTCTGCCACTAATGCGCTCAGAGTCCCTTGCCCCTCCTTTGCTCTTAATATGTTTTCTAAAATTGATTTTAGAGAGAGGGGAAGAAAGAGAAAGAGAAAGAGAGAGAGAGAGAGAGAGAGAGAGATCAATTGGCTGCCTCCCATATAGGCTCCAACCAAGGATCAAACCTAAAACCTGGCCTAGCTGCAGAATGAAGGGTCCCGGGTTCAATTTAGGTCAAGGGCATGTGCCCGGGTTGTGGGCTTGATCCCCAGTAAGGGGTGTGCAGGAGGCAGCCAATCAATGATTCTTTCTCATCATTGATGTTTCTCTCTCTGTCCCTCTCTCTTTCTCTCTGAAATCAATGAAAATATATTAACAAACAAACAAACAAAAAACCTGAAATCTAGTTATGTGTCCTGACCAGGAATTGAACCAGTGACCTTCTAGTGCAAGGAACGATGCTCAACCACTAAACCACACTGGCCAGGGCTCCTTTGCTCTTATGGAGCCAGAGGAGGGAGAGGAAGGGAGGGGAAGGGGTGGGCAGGGAGAAGACTAGTTGTCCAGTGGCTGAGGCAATCGGATAAGGGCTTTCCAACACCCCACTCCTCCCTGCACGGCCCACAAGGCCCCGGGGTCGGTCGGGCTGGGTCTGCTCTGAGGATAGAGGCAAAGCCCGAAAAGCCTGGAGAAGAGGAACCTGGCTCTGGACAAGCCTGCCCACGTGCAGCGGTCCTTCTCTGCCCCCTGGTGACACTGGATGGAGGCGCACAGACATGCTGAAGCTGGCTCTTCCTGTCACCAGACTCTGCGTATCCCCCCAAGCTCGTATGTGAGCACACGTGTGGTCTCCTGCCTCCTCCCCACCTGTCAGTGCAGGCAGAGGGAGCCTTCTGCCTGCTCCAAGGCCGGCCCCAGGCTCCGAGGACCGGAGGGGCGAGTCCTACCTGGACCAACGTACACGCGCACTTGGTGGCCCAGGTCGGTTCCTGGCCTATCGATTCCGCACCAGTAGGCATCCTGGTCGCTCGCCCGGAGCTCCTCCATGGTCACGGTGAACAGGTTCCTGTGGTGGTTGTCCTGGATGGACATGCGGCCGCTCCTCACCATCCAGTCGGACCCCGTGGTCTTAAGGAGGGTGTGGCAGGAACCCCAGGCCTCTCCGCGGCACCACCACTTGGAGTAGCTTTCATAGCCTGGGTCATAGTGGCACTGGATGGTCGCCGAACCCCCTCGGGGACCGCTCACGGACCCCGGGCCGGACATGGAGAAGCAGCCTGCAAAGCAAGCCCAGCTCGCACCCCTGCCCGCAGCCAGGGCTGGCGGGCTTCGGAGCCCGCCCCGGGCCACCGGCAGCTTCTGGGCCCTCACACCCGCCTCCTGCTTGTTCCTCAGTCCCCGGCAAGGTTCCTTTTCCGGTCACCTCTCCTGCGAAGGTCCCTTTGGGATCTGAATGCCCAACACTGACCTCTGCCCGCTCCCCCCGCCCCGTTCCTGGGATCCGCCCCCCTGCACTCCTCCTCCCCCACCTGCCCTCAGGCCGCAGGTTTACTTCTCCTCCTCGTCTTTAATCCTCACCCGAGGGCATTTTTCCACTGGTTTTCAGAGAGTGGAAGAGGGAAGGAAAGACGGAGAAAAACAGTGATGTGAGAGAAAGATCCACTGGCTGCCTCCTGCATCGGCCCTGACCAGGGCCTGGGCCAGGGAGAAGCCCGCCACCGAGGCACATGCCCTTGACCGGAATTGAACCCGGGACCCTTTGGTTTGCAGGCCGACACTTTATCCACTGAGCCAAACTGGCTCCACCCGCAGGTTTATTTGTGAATCCTAGAGCGATGAGTTTACATATGGGCCTCCTCCGTCCCCTGCACACCTAATGCCCTCACCCTCTGACTCTGCACAGGGGACAGAGCTGCAGGAAGTAAACACACACTCACACACTCACACACACTCACACACACACACTCACACACACACACACTCACACACACACACAGTCACACACACACACACACACTCACAGCACACTCACACACACACACTCACACACACTCACATACAGCACACACACACACACACTCACAGCACACATCATAACACTCACACACTTGCAATCACACACACACTCACAGCACACACTCACACACACACACTCATAGCACACACGCACACACACACTCCCATACACTCACACAGTCACACACTCACACAGTCACACAAACACACTCACACTGTTTTCCTTTTTACCTTGAAAACCATGCTCTTTGTGTCTCCAGACCTTGGCACAGCGTTCCCTCCCACCGAAGGTTCTCGGCGTTGAAGGAATCAAACCCTTACCCCATCCCGCCAGGCTCAGCTCACGGATCCTCTCTCCTAAGGTTCCCAGATTCTGTGGCCAACACAGCCCTCCCAAAGCCGCAGGACCATTTTGTCCATTCTCCGTCACTGCCTGACCTCGCTGGATGACCGTCTGGCCATGGTCCCAACGGAGCCGAAACTGGGGCAGCGGGTGAGTGGCTGGACCCACGGTCCAGAGCGCCTGCCCACCCTGGCCTCGCTGCCCATCCCTCCCTGGACTGAGCGCTTTCCTGGAGGCTTCCCCGCTCCAGCTGCAAGCCCACCAGCTGCCAGGCTTTGAAACCACCCAGACCCTGAGCCCCATCGTGACTAGATGGGTCTGGGCCGGAGCCCGAGCATCGGTGTTCCTGAAAGCTGCTGAGAAGGATTCCCCACGACCCATCCATCTGGTCCACAGCGCAGCCCGGCTGAGAGACACTGGCCGGAGGGGCCCTTGTGTTCGCTGGGTTTCTGTTTCTCTCCTGCACCTTCAGAGCCCCTGTGAGGGAGCAGCGCCTCGGTTTCCACTTCACCCAAAGGGGCCTGGATGCTGACAGGGCCCTGCCAGTAGCCCTGATTGTCCCGTCCCCCGGGACAGACCCTCTGGCTTCCTGCCAGCCTCGTCACCCCAGCTCCTGAGACCCCGGCCCCACTCACCTGGGACGATGAGGAGGAGCAGGGGTGGGAGCAGCCACATGATCACCGCCAAATGCCAGTGCCCTCCTGAGCGGAGCCAGGCCCTCAGTGCCCTCAATTTGTCTAAATCATAACATTTTGTTTCTCTCATTGACTTCCCTTAAACTTCCATCTTCCGTCACTTCCTCATTTCCTTAGGTAGCAGAAAGGCAGTGTCATCATTTATGAGCACATGGCTCAGTGTCTCCAATGCTTTGGGGGAGGCAAAGCAACCAGGCCTGGCCAGGGTCCATCTGGAGTGTGTGTGTGAGGAGCTGAGAAGGTGGCTGCAGGCACAGCTGCAGGGCGAGCAGCGGCCCCCGGGACGAGCCCAGAGCTCGGGTGAGGGAGTGACCGACCCGTGCTGGGAGTGCCCGTTGTGGGGGACGCAGCCCTCCGGGCTCATTCCCAGTCTGGCCGAAGGGACAGCCCCATCCTGGCACCACTGCAGGCAGCCCCACCACAGGCCACTCAGACCCCCATCCTGCCCTGGGCCATTGTCTCCCCTGAGCTGGACCCCCTATCTTCCCCCACCTCTTCCCCTGCCCCCCCCGCCCACCAGCCAGAACAGCTTCCTTTCAGGTCCTGAGTCACTCTCAGGCCTTGGGGACATGATAGGGAAGGAGAAGTGGCTTTCTGTCTTCCATGCCTTTTCCCCTACGTCTCTGCAGTTCCGCTGGCTGTGGCTCTTGGCAAACTCACTGTGTGGACACGGCTTATGCTGAAGAGCCTCTCCCCGCCCCCTCCAGAAGCCTCCTCCCTCCTTCTCTCTCACCGGTCCTCTCCCTCTCCTGCTCCCCCCCCTCCCACCGTCCCCCCAATCTCCTGGAGTCTGTCCTAGAATCTCTTGTCTCCGGGGAGTGTCCCTTCCTGGCTGTGTGACATCACCTCTGAGCACAGGACCGTCCCAAACACTCCCTCCGCCACCCCACCTCCTGGTCGCTAATCGGCTGTCACTGGCGATGCTGAGAGCCCACAGCCAGTGACACATGCAAGGGCGTGTGGGAAAGCATCCAGGACAAAAGGAGGCTGAAGCCACTTCTTCCTCATAACATTGCCAAGGCCCTGATCACTGCATCCTCCCCAAAGGGCACTCCCAGCGTGAGTCAGTCACTCCCCCACCCCGAGCTCTGGGCTCTTCCCGCCCCGCTGCTCGCCCTTAGCTGTGCCTGCAGCCACCTTCTCAGCTCCTCACACACACACTCCAGATGGACCTGGCCAGGCCTGGATGCTTTGCCTCCCCCAAACCATTGGAGACACAGCAGCCACGTACTTGTAAATGACAACACTGCATGTCTGCTACTTAAGGAAATGAGGAAGTAACTGAAGATAAAAACTTAAGGGAAGTAGGTGAGAGAAACAAAACACAATGACTTAGACAAATTGAGGGCAGTGAGCACCTGGGCTCCGCTCAGGAGGGCACTGGCATTTGGCGGTGACCAGGGAGGGAGCCCACAGGCAGGATCATGTGGCTGCTCCCACCCCTGTTCCTCCTTATTGTCCCAGGTGAGTGGGGCCGGGGTCTCAGGAGCTGGGGTGACGAGGCTGGCAGGAAGCCAAAGGGTCTGTCCTGGGGGGCGGGACATGTCAGGGCTACTGGCAGGGCCCTGTCAGCATCCAGGCCCCTTTGGGTGAAGTGGAAACCGAGGTGCTGCTCCCTCACAGGGGCTCTGTAGGTGCAGGAGAGAAACAGAACCCCAGCGAACACGAGGGCCCCTCCGGCCAGTGTCTCTCAGCCGGGCTGCGTTTGGACCAGATGGACGGGTCGTGGCGAATCCTTCTCAGCAGCGTTCAGGAACACCGATGCTCGGGCTCCAGCCCAGATCCATCTTGTCACGATGGGGCTTGGGGTCTGGGTGGTTCCAAAGCCTGGCAGCTGGTAGTGCTTGCAGCTGGAGCGGGGAAGCCTCCAGGAAAGCGCTCAGGTCCAGGGAGGGACGGGCAGTGAGGCCAGGGTGGGCAGGCCTGCTGGACCGTGGGACCAGCCACTCATCCACCTGCCTGAGTTTCGGCTCCGGTGGAACCAAAGGCCAGACCGTCATCCAGTGAGGTCAGTGCAGTGACGAACACGCATGGAGTCATATCACAGGGAGGGAGACCATGAGGCTAATTCTGGGCTGAATGTTAAGTCCTTGGGTAGAGCTGGCGCTGGATGCTCAGAGAGGACAGGGTCTAGGGGGGCAGGGACACTGGGCTGCCCAGCTCTGCTGCTTCTCGTCCTCCCAGGTGAGCAACCAGGGAAGGGGATCCACAGCCTCGGGGCGGGTTGCCCTGGGTCCTCCTGGCTCACCCCGGAGAACCTCCCATCTCTAGGTCTGCACCCATGAGGGCTCATGAGCTTGTCCCTTTTCTCACTTTTTAGCTCTTGCTTGAATCCTTTCTAGTAGGTTTAAGAAAGACACACGAGGCTGTAGCTTCAGTGCTTTTATGTTATAAGATCACTTGTTCTAGAAAACTGGAACTGAAATGTATGGCGAGTCAACTAAGAACATAGGATCAGTGTGATATGGATTTCGTAGTTGGCATCACTGCTTTGGTCAAGGTCAAAGACCCTGCAGCCGGGGTGCTTCTATGGAACCATTAGACCCACTAGGAGCGGCCTCTGCACAGCCAGGGGAGCGGGTGCAGCAGCTGGACCTCCTGAGGCCACCAGCGCAGGTCAGGAGCAAGCACACTCGTGTGGAAATGGGTCCCCTGGCACCTCCTCCCCAAGAGACCAGCTTAACCCAGAGATGCCGCAAAAGGACAACGATTTAGGAGCCACAGGGAGCAGGAGGGAGTGAATTATAGGAGGTAATGATTGCTCAGAGTCAATGCCTTTGTTTCCTTGAGCTCTGCTGTTGCTCTGAGCCAGTGGCACTATGAAGGACAAAGGTCTGCATTGTGGCAGGTGAATTACTTCTTTGACTCTGTCCCACTCATCAGGCCTTGGACTTGTTGGAGCTGCTCCAGTGCAGGTGGCTGTGGCTCTGGTCTCGGGGTAGAGATGAGGGTGTAAGATGACAGGTACATGGATTTGTTTTCCAGGCTCATCAGTTGACATCTCGGGTCCAGAAGCAGTGAGAGGTCTGGAGCAGGGATCGCTGACTGTGCAGTGTCACTATAAACCAGGGTGGGAGGCTTCCAAGAAGTGGTGGTGTCGAGGGGCTGATTCCGGCAACTGCAAGACCCTTCTTATAACCAATGGATCAGCGTTTGGGATGAAGGAGCGTGTGTCCATCACAGACGATAAGAGAAACCACACGTTCACTGTGACCATGAACAAGCTCAGGCGAGAAGATACAGACACTTACTGGTGTGGGATCGAGAGAACTGGACGTGACCCTGCGGTCCTTGTTAAAGTGACCATTGACCCAGGTAAGAGCACATGCATGTGTGTCTGTGTCCTTTCAGGGCCTGCTCTGCCCTGGTCCCTGAGGTCCCTCTCCAGTGACTGAACTCACTCAGATGAACTGCCACCGAGGGGGTTGGTCCTGAGGTCTCGGGGAACCCCGGCTGCTCACGTGGGTTGGGAGGTGCAGGGCTTCTCTTACAGGCTCTTGGGGCTCAAGATGGGATCAAGCCTTTCTGGGCACATTTTTCCTCCGCACAGCTCATCGCCTCAGTCCATTGCCCTTAGAGACCACGGGGATGGCCCCAGGTTTAGCTCATGGGCAGAAGGAAGCCTCTTCTGTGGGAGCCAGTTCCTGCCAAGGCTTTCCTGGCACCTCTGGTGCCCTGGTGTCCCTGCTTTTCCTGAAATCTCATCATGAGCCATTGACACATCTGTGCTCAGAGACACTCTCTTCCTAAGACCTTCTAGAACAGACGCTCCTGGGAGATCTGGGTGTGAACAAGTGTATGTGCTGGGCTCTGCTCCTGCCCACCCTCGGACAGCCAGCACCAGCTCCCAGCGCACTTATGGCCGGGAGGGAACACACTCACAGCGCCCCTACCACACCTGGAACCTGGGAGGCCTGGATAGCTGCCAAGAGCAGCATCTTCCTCTTCTCACGGGACCTCCAGAAGGATCCTGAGAAGGAGGTATCCCATCACAGAAACTTAAAAACTTGTCCAAAGCTGACCCCCAGCTGCCCTGGACCTGAGGCAGTCCTGGGCCCCTTCACCTTTCTATGGCCCACAGCCAGCGACACACGCAAGGGCGTGGGAATAAGCAAACAGGACAAAATGAGGCTGAAGCCAAAGACCACTTCTTCCTCATAATGTCCCCAAGGCCCGGAGTGCTGCGTCCTCCCCAAAGGGCACTCCTAGTGAGAGTCGGTCAGTCCCCCACCCTGAGCTCTGGGCTCTTCCCAGGAGCAGCTGTGCCCGCAGCCACCTTCTCAGCTCCTCACACACACACTCCAGATGGAACCCTGGCCAGGCCTGGATGCTTTGCCTCCCCCAAACCATTGGAGACACAGCAGCCACGTACTCGTAAATGATGACACTGCCTTTCTCTCACCTAAGGAAATGAGGAAGTGACATAAGGTAAAAATTTAAGGGAAGTAGGTGAGAGAAACAAAACACAACAACTTAGACAAATCGAGGGCAGTGAGCACCTGGGCTCCGCTCAGGAGGGCACTGGCATTTGGCGGTGACCAGGGAGGGAGCCCACAGGCAGGACCATGTGGCTGCTCCCACCCCTATTCCTCCTCATCGTCCCAGTTGAGTGGGGCTGGGGTCTCAGGTGCTGGGGTGACGAGGCTGGCAGGAAGCCAGAGGGTCTGTCCCGAGGGGAGGGGGGTGGTGGCAGGACACATCAGGGCCCTGTCAGCATCCAGGCCCCTTTGGTTGATGTGGAAACTGAGGCGCTGCTCCCTCACAGGGGCTCTGTAGGTGCAGGACAGAAACAGAAACCCAGCGAACACAAGGGCCCCTCCGGCCAGTGTCCCTCAGCCGGGCTGCGGTATGGACAGAGATGGACAGATTGTGGCGAATCCTACTCTGGGTCTTTCAGGAACACAGATGCTCGGGCTCCAGCACAGACCCACCCCGTCATGGCGGGGCTCAGGGTCTGGGTGGTTCCAAAGCCTGGCAGCTGGTGGGGCTTGCAGCTGGAGCAGGGAAGCCTCTAGGAAAGCGCTCAGGTCCAGGGAGAGACGGGCAGCGAGGCCAGGGTGGGCAGGCCCACTGGACCGGGGGTCCAGCTACTCATCCACCTGTTCACAGTGCAGGTGGCTGTGGCCCTGGTCTCTGGGTGGAGACGAGGGTGTAAGATGACAGGTACATGGATTTGTTTTCCAGGCTCATCAGTTGACATCTCGGGTCCAGAAGCAGTGAGAGGTCTGGAGCAGGGATCGCTGACTGTGCAGTGTCACTATAAACCAGGGTGGAAGGCCTCCAAGAAGTGGTGGTGTCGAGGGGCTGATTCTGGCAGCTGCAAGACCCTTGTTATAACCAATGGATCAGCGTTTGGGATGAAGGAGCGTGTGTCCATCACAGACGATAAGAGAAACCACACGTTCACTGTGACCATGAACAAGCTCAGGCGAGAAGATACAGACACTTACTGGTGTGGGATCGAGAGAGGTGGACATGACCCTGCGGTTTCTGTTAGAGTGACCGTTGACCCAGGTAAGAGCACATGCATGTGTGTCTGTGTCCTTTCAGGGCCTGCTCTGCCCTGGTCCCTGAGGTCCCTCTCCAGTGACTGAAGGTCCCTCACTCGGATGAACTGCCACCGAGGGGGTTGGTCCTGAGGTCTCGGGGAACCCCGGCTGCTCACATGGGTTGGGAGGTGCAGGGCTTCTCTTACATGCTCTTGGGGCTCCCAGGACCTCCCCAAGATGGGATCAAGCCTTTCTGGGCACATTTTTCCTCCGCACAGCTCATCGCCTCAGTCCATTGCCCTTAGAGACCACGGGGATGGCCCCAGGCTTAGCTCATGGGCAGAAGGAAGCCTCTTCTGTGCGAGCCAGTTCCTGCCAAGGCTTCCCTGGTATCTCTGGTGCCCTGGTGTCCCTGGTCTTCCTGGACTTTGGGGCCCAGGCTCATAGCTGATGTTCCCACTCCTTGTCCATATGTGATCTCTGCGGGAAGGAGGCCCAGCATGGGTGGGGTGCTGTGGTTCACTCCTGAGGTCTGGTCTCCATATACAAATAGTTGCATTCTGGGTGCCTGAAATCCCATCAAGAGCCATTGACACATCTGTGCTCAGAGACGCTCTCTTCCTAAGACTTTCTAAAACAGATGCTCCTGGGAGCATCCAGGTGTGAACAAGTGTATGTGCTGGGCTCTGCTCCTGCCCACCCTCGGACAGCCAGCACCAGCTCACAGCGCACTTATGGCCAGCGCCCCCACCACAGCGCCCCCACCACACCTGGAACCTGGGAGGCCTGGATAGCTGCCAAGAGCAGCATCTTCCTCTTCTCACGGAACCCTGAGAAGGATCCTTAGAAAGAGCTACCCCATCACAGAAACTTAAAAACTTGTCCAAAGCTGACCCCCAGCTGCCCTGGACCTGAGGCAGTCCTGGGCCCCCTCACCCTTCCAGGGCCTGCTCAATGTCCTCTTGGACCTGTGCCCAGACTCGACTGCTTCTGAGGCTCTGAGGCTCCCAGTAGCCAAGGAGATACGAGTGGTCCAGCAGTAGATCCCATCCCAAGGCTCCCTTCCAGGCCCTTCAGGCGAGGGCAGCCCACATTCCTCCCTGGCTCCAAGCTATGTGCAGGGCTGTGGGTGGATTAGCAGGAGAGTGGAATGTAATCTGTTCTGTATGACACCCAACAACTACAGTGCTGACCTCCACCCCCACCCTCACCTCCACTGTGAACACATTCACAGATTCCCCAGAACACACCACTGGCTCCCCTTCTGTGACCAGCCACCACTACGATGGCAGGTAAGTCAGCTTGGACGGTGATGTTCCTTCTGGCTCATTTTCCCCAACTTCTCTCACACAGACATGGGGCGACCCCCACGGAGCTCAGAGCGTGGGAGATGGACGAGCAGGCGTTCAGGGCAGAGGCCATGGCCAGGATGTGTGGGCACGGGTTTCATGGGGCCACAAGGCCCTTTGGTCCAAACTCTGGGAGAACAGGAAAGGTCTGGGGAAGCCCTTTTCCCCCGGTTACTCTTTTCGCAACAGCTGTGATCCCTCTAGGCCCTCGTGTCTCTAGAACCCCTGGCAGCTCACGGAGGACGCTCCTGTGTGTTCTTCTGTTCATGTGTTGACATTGCCCGTGACCACTTCAGGGGGAGGGAACAGGCAGATGGACATACACGTTCCTATTTACAAAAGAAGAAACTGAGGCAGGCTCATGTTTCCCAGTTCCGCAGTCACAGAGCTTTCTGGAAGCTGAGAGGCCTCTTCCGTTTCTCCCCTTACTCCTCCTTGGCCCTCTCGCTTTGCCTTTAGATCTGCTGTATCTTCTGCTGCTGGGCCTTCCCACAGTCTCTATGGGACATCCGTCTTTCCAACCCAGGGGGGCCTTTGCCCTCTCCCATTTGCTCTCTGCTTTGAGGGTTGCTTTCTACCGAACTACTTACTTACTTTTTAAAGCATGTTCTTAATGATTTTAGAGAGAGAGGAAGGGAGAAGGAGAGAGAGATAGAAACATCAATGACGAGAGAGAACCACTGATGGGATGCCTCCTCCATGCCCCCTTCTGGGGATTGAGCCCACAAGTTGGACATGTGCTCTGGCTGGGAATAAATTCAGCAACCTTTTGGTGTTTGGAACGACACTCAACCAACTGAGCCACACCAACCAGGGCCGAACTGCTTTTAATAAGACTATGAAGCAGTTTTTAAATGCAAGAATCAAAGCCAGATATAAGTGCCGATGAGGACTTTTGCTCACATTATGGATAACTCACTCATTAATCAACAAAGAACTATGGAGGCCCCCTCATATCCAGCACCAATTTAGGGAATGCAGGGGGATAGGAGGGTGAACAGAGTAATCAAGCTGTCTGTCTGCCCTCCAATCAAGAGATGGTTAATGTAGCAAATAGAGCTAAGTAATTAACTGATGGATTTATTTTATGACTTTCTGTGAATTGTGATGAGTAAGAGATAATCCTTATATACATCAGCTCGGGTGCCATCACAAAGCAGTGTCAGCTTAAACAACTTTCTCACGTTCTGGAGGCCAGAAGTCTCAGTCAAGGTGTCGGCAGGGTTGGTTCCTCCCGAGGCCTCGGTCCTTGGCTTGTAGACAGCCATCTTCTCCCTGTGTCTTCCCATGGTTTCCCCTTATGTGTGTCTGTGTCCCAGTCTCTTCTTATAAGAACCCCAGGCATTTCCTCCCAGAGGAGCAAGCCAAGGTGAGAAGAGTTAGGAATCAGAAGAGAGAGTAGGTGGGGGCCGGTGGGGGCCATTATCAGCCTGGGATCCCACACTCTGGGCACAGGGTATGCTGGGAAGAGGGGTCCTGGGCGGTCGCTCACTTCTGTCACTCTGTCCCTCCCGCAGGTTCCAGCTCAGCAGCACCCACTTCCTGCTCTTGGTCTTCCTGAAGGTGCCCCTGCTCCTGAGCATGCTCAGTGCCGTCCTGTGGGTGAACAGGCCTCAGCGGAGCTCGGGGGAGAGGCAGAGTCAGCCCCGCTCTGAGAACCAGTAGCTCCCATGTTCATCGGTGTCGTGTCTGACAGTAAGAAACTCCAATGGAAGGAAGATTGTCTAATTGTGAAATGACGGTGGACGGCAGGAACAAGGGAACTGCTTTATTTCTCGGTTTGCACAATTTCATCACGGTGTTGTGTTTCTGTTTCCCAAGGGCTCACGGGTGCTGTATTTCATAAGTTCTTGTGCATCTGAGAGTGTTTGTTGCCGAAAGCAACGATCCTGGGTAGAGAATCCCCAGAGGATCCTGTCTTTTCTGGGAACGTGTAGATTTCCCTTCACGGCCCCTGGGATACCATGCTGTGGTGACATCGGAAACCAGCCTCTTCCCTTCATATTCGCAACTTACTCCCTCTGATCCGGGGTCTTCCCTGATCGGAGCCCACGTGATTCTATCTTTGTCCTGGAAGCTCTGTAGCTTCAGGAGGTTCCAGGTGTGGGTCATTAGAAACCCCACCCCCTCCACTGGGACACTGTGTGCGTTTTCAGTTGCAGATGGAAGGGTTTCTTTATTTCAGAGTCATTTTAAATTCCATTTGATCATTTCTACTTGTGGCTTATTTTTCTCCTCCTTAGGGAGCATTTGTGGAATGTCCTTCCTCTGTCTCCTGCTGTGTCTGCCTCTCCAAACATGTTTATAGCATGTGCATTAAAATGCCACTGTTGGGCCCTGACAGGTATGGCTCTGTGGGCTGGACTTCGCCCATGCACCGAAAGGTTGCTGGTTCGACGCCCAGACAACGCCCAGACCTGTAACCCAGCCGTTTCACATACAGGAATTTATCCCACAGGCATATTCACAAATGCATATCAAGCCACACGTGCAAAGACATTCACTGAGGAATTGCATGTAGTCACAAAGAGCTGAAAACAACTCAAGTGCCCATCAAGAGGGAAAGAATGAAACAAATCGCAATATGCAGACAGCATGTAAACCATGCAGCCATTGAAAGCAAAGGTCTATAGGCATCCGTAGCCAGTTTGGCTCAGTGGATAGAGCATGGGCCTGCAGACGGAAGGGTCCTGGGTTCAATTCCAGTCAAGGGCACATGCCTGAATTGTGGGCATGATCCCCAGTAGGGGATGTGCAGGATGCAGCCGATCAATGATTCTCATCATTGATGTTTCTATCTCTCTCTCTCCCTTTCCCTTCCTCTCTGAAATAAAATATATATATATATATATATATATATATATATATATATATATATATATATATATATATATATTTAAAAGTCTATAGGCATTGATATGGGGTGATTTTGAAAATACAGTAAGTTAAAATAGGCAAGCCACAGACAACACGCTGAGACGCTGAGAAGGGGGAAGACCACACACACACACACACACACATACACACAGAATTTCTTCAAAGGACACACAGACACACAGGATAACCTACCGCCAACTGCATCCAGACCGGGTGAGCTGGGAAGGAGGGAGCGAGTCTGAATCCTGAATTGAGAGCAATCACGTGACTCACGGAGGGTCACAGCTGAAAACTTTCAGTGGCATCTCACAAATCACTTTTGGGGGCATCCCTTCCTTTGAAGGTCACGCAGAAAAGAAAGTAAGTTTACATAAGATGTCACAAAAAGTGACAGAATATGGCCTGGGCCCTTGCAGTTGGTTGGGCGTCATCCTGTACACCGAAAGGTTGCTGGTTTGATTCCCGATCAAGGTATTTACAGGTTTGCTTCCCGGTGGGGGCACATACAGAGGCAGCCGATCGGTGTTTCTCTCTCTCCCTTTCAAGGAAAACACAACAAGACAGAATATGAATGTGAACTTTTGCACCTTTTCATGTTCTGAAGCCCTGAGGTTTACATTTGGCGGGGGTGGGGGGACGAAGGGAAAAGTCCACATAAGGAAACAGAAGCCAGTGGCCTGAAGCAGCCTCTGCTTCTAGCACATGTCCTTCTCCCTGGCTCTGCAGCAAAGTGAGATTGCTCAACCCGTGGTGTGGGTAGCCACTCGACACGGGAGGGGCGGGTGCGAGTGCACACACGAGAGCACACACAAAACCACAGAGAACATGGAGCTTCCTCAGCAAAAAAAAGAAGAAGAAGAAGAAGAAGAAGAAGAAGAAGAAGAAGAAGAAGAAGAAGAATTAGCAAGGACTTTTATTTTTACTGAGATGCCCCATTGAGAGAAGTTGTTTGGCAACGGAATCCCCGATCGGCAGAGCGTTCTTCGACAGGAACCTAAGCTCTCGGTAGAGCATTGCCCACTGTGTCTGCCTTACACGCCCCCGTGGCTGCCTCGCGGAATTGGGTGTCTTCCTGGCCAGGTATCCCGGGGCTGCCCTCCCGCTTACGGAAACCTCTCTACGCAGGAGACGCTTCGCCTCCCATTCCACCACACAGGCTCATGGGGAGGCCTGAGGCTGGTTTCCCGAGTTCTCCTTGAAGCCAGAGCCATGGAGACGGGTCAGGAGCACGTGACCAAGACGAATCCCCTCAAGGCTTCTGGGGTCTGAGGAGGGCAGACAAGACCCCCACATGGACCCTGCCGTCTGACCCCCCGGAGGCAGGGCCGGCCTCATGGGGGCACAGCGCCATGCACTCCGGGCCCCGCGTGTAGAGGGGCCTCCCGCTTGGTGTAACTCTCGTAGCCGCCATTCGAAATTCATAATATTCTGGAACAAGGGCATAGGGCATGCCCATTTGCATGGGGCCCTGTATGAAGCTGGCCTTGCCTGGACCGCAGGAGACTGCTTGTCTCGGCCACAGGAAATGAGCCAGCCCTCCGGGCAGGGCTTGCTTGGGAAACGGGATGGAAATGGACCCAGGCGGCTGGGGTGGGCCTGCGGGCTGGGAGAGAGCGATGGGAGGGGCGCTCTCACGTTTGGGGAGAGAAAGGGGAACTGCAAGTTCAGATTCAGCCCTGAGTTTCTCCATGTGATGCCCCGCTCCCTCCGCTGCTGCACTGTCTGATCTGCTCTGAGAACAGAAACAAGCAGAGACGGGCGGAGAGGAGCAGAGGAGGGGACGGGGGAGCAGACCCTGGGTGAGGAGCCTTCAGCCCCCGCCAGGTGCAGCTGGAGAGGCCAGCCCGAGGGACAGGGCCATGCGGCTGCCATGGGCTCTGCTGCTTCTCTGTGTCCCAGGTGAGCAGGGCTGGGCCAGACTCGGGAAACCTGCTCTGGCAGGTCAGGGTGAGCCGAGGGTGGTGATGGGCAGGGAATGCAACAAAAACACCAGCCAAAAGGGACGGGATATGATTATAAAGACCCCAGTGCACCCTACTTCCTCCCTGGGACAGGAAGAGGATTAGGTGGGAAATGCTCTCCGCGCTGTGAGCACAGTCGGAGCCCCAAGGAAGTCTAGCCATCTTAATCATTAGAACTATCATTGCTGCAGAAACCGGTTTGGCTCAGTGGATAGAGTGTCAGCCTGCGGACTGAAAGATCCCAGGTTTGATTCCAGTCAAGGGCATGTACCTTGGTTGTAGGCACATCCCCAGTAGGGGGTATGCAGGAGGCAGCTGGTCGATGATTCTCTCTCATTGATGTTTCTAACTATCTATCCCTCTTCCTTCCTCTCTGTGAAAAATCAATAAAATATATTATTGATAAAAAAAAAAAAAAAAGAACTATCATTGCTAAGGTCTGGAAGTTGCCAGAGAGGAGAGGGAGGGGGGCAGAGAGCTGGGACTACTGGGCTGAGTGTGAGTTACCTGTCATGGGCAGAGCGGACAGCAGCGGTTCCTTGCAGTGAGAGGAACCCTTAGGTGTGTCTAGAGCTCGTGTGACTCTCCAGGCAGGAAGCAGGGATTGGAGGGGCCTGGGGCTTCCTCACTGGGAACTGGAGCTTTCAGAGAGACTGGAGAAGAAGGGGCAATGCCAAAGTCTTAGAGGTGGCCAAGGACCTGAAGCTAAGGCTCAGGGCATGGCAAGGCTGGCAGGGGCTGCCGAGGAGGAGGGGAGGGAAGGAACCACTGGTGGGCCATCGATGTGGGAGCAAGGAGTCCCTACAGACACTCGGTGATGGCAAGTGTGGCTGCAGGCGTCTGTCCCAGGAGGGAAATCCAAGTCTTAATGGCCTTGAATAGTGGCCAAGAAGAGCCCCTTCTTACATGGCCTCCCTATACCCTGGCCAGCGCTCAGCTCCCGTGTGACTCAGACCTCTGAGCAGGAGGCCCTACCTACACAAGCAGGGATTATCAACTCAGGTCCACAGAGAACTGGCTTCCTCTTAGTCTCCAACACTGGGCTTTATCTAAATTTTCCTGGTTCCCATTCTTATTTTATGTTTTTTAGTTCATCCATCCATCCATCCGTCTATCCATCCATCCATCCATCCCTTTATTCAGATCACACTTAGTAGCTTTATTCAATTCTAAGTATTGGATGGGACCCAGAACAGGTGTCTAGGACCACCAAGGTCTTCCTCTCCCCCCCCCCCCCCCCCCCATGAAGGCTGGTCATGACCTCTTGGTCTCAGAATCCCACAGCCGGCATCTCCTTCAATGTCCGCCTGTGTCTGCCTATGCCTTGCTGGTACCTGCCCCCGCCTTCAGGCCTCCGGGTGACTTCCAAAGGACCCGACACCCAGGGGCCCCTCTGGCCCAGGCTCTTCCAGGGGGAGTCCGATAGATTGTGTTTTCCAGGCTCTTGGTCTCTGAGCGGCCCCCGTAATGTGACGGGCACCGTGGGCGGATCGCTGAGCGTGCAGTGTCGGTACAAGAAGGAGTATGAGGCCTTCGACAAGTACTGGTGCCGACAGCCATGCTTGCCTCTGTTCTCCGAGACCGTGACAACCAGTGCCTCCGGGAGAGAGGTGAGGAGTGGCCGTGTGTCCATCCTGGACCATCCTGGCAACCTCACCTTCACCGTGACCTTGAAGAACCTCACTGCAGACGATGCAGGAAAATACAGGTGTGGGATTTCCACGCTCCTGATGGAAGAGGGGCTTCCTGGCTTTTTGCCTGAACCCTTTTTCCAGGTTCAAGTGTTTGTTTCCCCAGGTAAGGCCCTCCTTCCTCTGGGACCAGGGTGAGGGGTCTGAGGGAATCTCTGCAGAGCATCCCAGGAAATTCCGACTCAGGAGAGGGAACGGGGCCAGGTGTTTGTGCACCAGAGATTCAGGACCAAGTGTGTTGTGTGCATGGACTGCATGTGAGTGTGTGAGTGTGTGAAAGCGTGAGGGTGTGTGTGAGGAAAATGTGTGAAAAGTTGGGTCAATTCAAGTGCCAGTGTGTGTGTCGGGCGTGTGAGAATGTGAGTGTGGGTGCGTCACATCCAAGTTTCCTGCCACCACTCCAGGTCCTAACAATGTCTGTGGGTTGAGGTGGGAGGACCCTGTGTCTTCAGATCCATCAGGACTGAGGGCCTCATGCTGCCTTCCTGACTTCCCAGGGTGGAGTGTGTGTGTAGGGTGGAGGTCACTCCCAAGGGACCCCCTCACACTGTCTGTTCGCTTGAGCTCTCAGGATTAAGAGCTCCCTATAACCCTAGGGCCCAGGGCCTCACCCAGGGTCCAGACAGGAACCTGGAGATGGTCTAAGGTCAGGGATGGCCCAGACTGCCAACCTCATCCCTCTGACGGGGGAGCCCTGCGCCAGAAATCCAAGGCCAGCCCCAACTCTCGCCCTGGCCTCTCTAGCTGGGTGGGCTGGGGGGGGGGGCTGGGGGGCCCCACTTTCCAGAGTACAGATTCCATGTCTTTGGTGCTGGTAGCATTTTCCATCAGCTGTGTGAGGCATCCCCACTTTCAAACTTCCCTGAATCAACCTCTATAGTCTTCTGCCAGGGGGTGGGGGATTGATAAGTGGGTGCATTGGCTGGGGGTGAGTAGAACCTGAGGTCTAACTCTTGACCTGACCTTTAAGCACTCCCGTTTTCAGGAAGATGTGGAATGCCTAACTGCTTAATGGCAGAAGGCAACGCATCCCTCGTCCTGATTATGGTGTTCACCTGGCTAAGAGCACACTGGGATGGGCTTGGAGAGGGACACTCCTCTGCTGCTCAGGCCTGGGGCTGACCATGGTGAGAGGATGGTCTGAGATCATCTGTTCAGCCCCTTCCCTGAGTTCCCTCTGCTTTGTGAAGTTAGGACCGTGCAGGTGAGAGGTGCCTACGTGGGGAGAGTCCTGCCCCGTCCCTCACCCTCCACCTCCCCCACAGCCTCCAGCAGCAAGAGCTCGGCAAGGACGCCTGGACCTCCCAGCCGAGACCCAGGGTAAGGCGCCTGTGTCCCCGTGCCTGCTACCATCGGCACGCATCTCCCCGAGGGTAGGGCTTCCCAGACACAGGTCTCCTCAATAGGCCACTCACTCAGCAAATATTTCATTTACGTCTTATGTGCCGGGACCTGATGCAAATGCTGGGGGTATGACGGTGAACAGGCAAGGCTGTCTCTCAGGGAAGTTTCTTTCGAATGGGCAGATTTAAACAATGACCAAACGGATGAGATAGGTAGGCAGGCAGGCAGGCAGGAAGATGATAGATGATAGATAGATAGATAGACAGACACACATAGAGTAAATGTCATTGATGATCATTGCTCTGGAGAAAAATTAAGCAGGTAGGTATTAAAGGACAGGTTATGTGATGTCTGCGGGGAAGTTGATCGGGCATGATGAGATCTCAATGAAAACAAGTAACAGAGACTTATATTGGGTTTCCTCACAATCAGATCCCGGGACAAGAATTTAGTGAGTACAGAGAAGTGATCCTAGGAGATCTAGTGAGGGAGCGGGAAGGAGGGAAAGACAAATGAGGTGCCCATTGCTGAGAGAGCTCCCGTTGGAGCAACCGAGCTCCCTCCCCTGGGCCCCCTCAGAGAGGCTGAGCAGGACATTCCTCAGAGCCGGCCCACGGAGCAGTGAGGAAGCGGGGGTGGGGACCCACATACATCTGTCCCTCCTGGCGGGGGCAGATGGCCGGTTTGCTAGTTTTATACAGAGTGATGAGTGAAGGCCTCTCAGCTAGTGACATCTGAGCAGAGACCTGAAGGAAGTGGGAGAGTCAACCAAGAAAGCCTCTGGAGTAGGACTGGTCCAGGCAGGTCACTCCTGGGGCCTGAATCCTGGGGGCATTTCTGGCCTGCTCTGCCCAGCAAGCCACACCCACTCCTACGGTGAGAGAGAATCCTCAGGCAAGAAGGGGCAGGGGCTTGAGGTGAGAAGACATTGGCGGGCCCAAAACTGTCCACAGTTACCAGAAGCTCAAGTGGGCAAACAGAGGGTACCAAAAGGGGCTGCTACATTTGTGAGGAGCTGGAACGGGCAGTGGACTGGGACCCAGGAGGTGAGGGGATGGGCAAAGTCACTCCTTGGGGGAAAGTCATTAGTGATTTAAGCAGACTATCTGCTCTCATGATTGGATTCAAGGGTGAGCCAGGAGTTGCATTTGTGTGTGGGGTGGTTATAAGGGGACATTCATCCTTAAAGTTGGTCCCAGTAAGAGCTGGGGCCCTGTGAGTGTTGATGGCTGAGGGTTTTCTGGGCACCAGGGTCTGTCCAGGATCCAGCCTCTGTCTTCCCTCCGCTTCTCATACCACGTCCTCAGGCACCTGCTGTGTCCTGACCTCCAAGTTCCTCACTTCATTCTTGAACGAAATGAGGGACAAGTGTTTGTGGTCTTTAGAATGAGCTGTCTGACCCTGGCACCACTCAGGTGTGACACTGATACTGAGTTTTGAGGCCACAAAACTTGAGCACAAAGGAAGGTGGGGGAGAGGCGGAGCCTGGCCCTCCATTTGACTGCTGTCCACTGTCCCTCCCACAGGTCCATGTTCAGCAGTGTCCACTTCCTGCTCCTCATATTCCTGAAAATACCTCTGTTTCTGAGCATGCTCAGTGCTGTCCTCTGGGTGAACAGGCCTCAGCGAGCAACTTCTGAGGAAACACAGTTTGGCTAAGAAAACCTGCCACTGCCCCGCCCAGCAATGTCCTGTCCAGAGACACAGCCACTCGGACTAGAGAAGACGGAATCTCATCCCTGAACCTTACATCCCTTTCCAGCTTATCACTAGACACTTAAAAAAAAACATTTCAATGAATATATCACCTGCACAAACGTGTGTATAGGAACAGTTGAAGAATTAAAATAAACAACTGTGTGCCCACCATTCAGCCTAAGAAACCAAACATCATTGAAATATTTAAAGCCCCCACCCACTTCTCCCTGCCCTCAAGCCCCTCCTTCTCCTGCTGCCAGAGTCAACCACTCTCTGGATTAGTTTGTGCCAATCATTTCTATTACCCAACCTCATGGGTAAGAAGGAACCGCTTGTGGCGGTTCTTAAAGCCACCAGGAGATGGCGCCAGAGGCAATTTGCAGAGCTTCATGATGGACCTCTCCATGGACTTAGAAATAATTCTCCTTCACCAAATCCAGACCATTGAATCCTGCTGGCCTTTCCCCCAGGCTGGTCCACTCCTGCCCCATCCTGCTCAGCAGCCTGGGCTATCATAGCAGGGACGCCCTTGTCTCCATTGGGGCCAACCAGAGGTGGACTCAGGCATTCAGGGGACCAGGGGCAGGGCTCAAGGTACCACCAGGGGGTCTGGGGCCCAGTGGGCAGCTCAGACTGGAGTAGACTGGACCTAGGGGAGGGCATGGAGCCAGGCGCCAGAGACGAAGTCACACTCCATTCCAGTCCAAGGCTTCAGATTTCTTGAGAAGCAGCACCACTTGGCTCTTCTGATTTCTGATTCCCTGGGAGAGGCAGGGAGACCCAGGCCCTCAGGAAACACGTTCGCTAGCTTGGAACTTCAGGTGGTGACAGTGTCAGCACTTCCTGTTCCCCAGGAACACGGGGAACTGTGTCTAAAGGACTAACCATGACAGCGCCAGGAAGCGTCTAAGGAAGGGCAGCAGTGGGAGGAGAAACAGGGAGACAGAGGTGCAGGGTGAAGTGAGGTGGGTGGGAAGTGGGGAGGGGTGGCGGGGCCCATCTTACAGAGTCCAGGGGGAATCTGCAGTTGGGCCCTGGCCTGGCATCCCATGAGCAGCCTCGAAGTTAGTCTGTAACATGATCTCTACAGAAATTATCTGTGTTGGTAGATGTGTTTATGCTATGTATTGATACATGTGTTTTATTCCTACTGAGCCACCAGAAAGTTAACATTTTAATGCAATTGTCCTTTTCTCATTGTCCGATGGATTATTCTTAGTGGTCATTGGTATATCAAAAGTTGATTTGTGAACTTGACATATTTAAAATATGCCACCATGTTGGGAACCCTATTTTGACATCATTTTTTTTTTTCTTCTAAGATGCAGAGAGCTTCAAAAATAAAAGTGAATTATGTGTAAGGGGTCAGGTGGGAATAGACTTATCAGTGTATGGGCACTATGTTGGACACATGAACCTGAGGCCTGGAGAAGGATGGACACTGTGACTAAAACATAGGGTGACTATGGGGCAGGGGGAGTGAGACCCTTGTCAGGTCCACTCGGGTCTAGTTGGCCAAGCAAGGAGAGTGTGTCTTATTGGAGGAGTGTGTGGCGAGGAGTGACACCGACTGCTATTGATTTCTGTGACTCTTGCTGATGAGTGGAGAAGAGAGAGAAAGGCCAACAGGGGGACTAGGAAAAGAGGGATGTCACCATAGTGGAGAGAGGACAGAGGACACATAATGTCAGAGAAAAAGGCGGGGAAGGGACAGGTTGGAGAGCCTGGAGTGAGCATGTCTGGGCGTGAGGGCAGAAGAAGCCTGTGTTACAGGAGTTGGGGTGCAGCCACTCTTGGGTTCTTATTGCCTTTGGTTGTGGTAAGCTGGTGTGGAACAGGAACAGACCTGGGAAGAGAGAGTTTGGGGGAAACAGATAGACCTGGATTGTGCATGACTAGGTTGAAAAACCAGGGTAGTCCAGGAAACACCTTAAAATAGGCCCCACCTCTTGACCTGCCCCCTCCCCCCTACCATTTCCAGGCAAATTGGCCCTGGAGCCATCATGTCCTCAGACCACCAAGCCTGTCTGAGGTAGGACAGACCTGCCTCCCCACCTCCTGGGAAGGTCCACCTTCAACTCTGACCCTTGAAGAGGCCCCTGGCCATCCCTGTGCACCCCAAAGGGACCCCAGCGGCCATGCCATTGGGAAGACCGCCCTCTCTGTGCCAATGGGAGGAGAGGAAAGGCTCCATCCCAGCTGGAGGGCCCCCACTTTTCATCCTCTGAGCTCTGAGCTCCTCTTGTCCGCTGTCAGACCTCTGTGCGGAGCCTCACCGTGGAGGTGACTTTCAGAAGAAAGCGTCAAAAGGGAAGTCCTTAGAGGGTTGGTGAACAGGGAAACCCACAGGAGCGAGGATTCAGCCTTGCATGGGACCCCACAACCTAGATGGGAGCTTTGAAGGCGTCTGACATAGTTGCATCAGAGCTCCCCGTGGGACCTGCAGTGACATGTTGGGGTCATCACACCTCTGTGGTCCCCACTGAAGCCCAAGTGGATGAAAAGATTTGAACTCTCCTTCTTGACTACAAGGAAGTGACATGGGCAGGGGGTGGGCACACCCACCGAGGAGGAAATGACCCAGCGTGGCTCTGCTGTGCGGAGACATGTGTGGCCGTCACGGGAGCAGCCGTGTGCTCTGAGAAGGGGCAGCCTCCTCACTGAGGCCACGGGCCTGTCCTGTCCTTGGGGTTGAGAGCAGAAGCCCAGGAGCCGAGAGCCGGGTCTGCAGCAGCCTGTGTGGCTCCTGACCCTAAGCTTCCCGCACCCTGACCATCCAGCATCACACTCAAAACTGGGCTGGGCACGGAAGCAGAGGCCCAGAAAAGCGGAAGTGGGCACAGGCCAATCGCACCCTCAGCCAGGAGGCTTGACTGTGTTCCCACACAGGGCCTGGCGCTGCTGCAGGCCGGTCCGTGCGGAGGAATGACCCCGAGGAGGGGGCCCACATGGCTGCTTCCAGCTCTGTTCCTCCTCCAGGTCCCAGGTGAGCGGGCTGTGCTAGGTGGGGCGCTGGGCCCCAAGTAGGAATGAGAAGGACTGGGAGGAGGAGTGGAGGGGGAGCCGCAGACCAGCAGGAGGGAGGGAGGACATGGGGGAGGGGAAGGAGAGGCAGAGAAGCTTCTGGAGCTGCCAGCACCTGCCTCAGCAGCAACCACAAGGATTCAGTGCACAAAGCAGGCGAGTCTCAACCACTGCGCTGACAGAGCTGTGCTGGGAGAATGGGTCTGTGCTCAATGCCTTATTGTCATAACCAGGATGTGGGCCCTGGCTGGAGGGTTCAGTGGTTGGAGCATAGGCCGCCTACAGGTTAGATTATGGATCAATGGCTTGTACCTGGGCTCATGAAGAAGGTAACCAATCAATGTGTCTCTCACATCAATGTTTCTCTCTCTCTCTCTCCCTCTTCCCTTCTTCCTCCCTTACTTTCTCTCTAAAAAGCAATGGAAAAAATGATAAAAGCAATGGAAAAATAATCCTTGGGTGAAGATTAAGAAAAGAGAGAGATGTGGTCTTGGTACATCACAGACAATCTTATACACAGACACACACACAAACACACAATACACATACATGCATGTGCACACACACCATTTTTCCCATGTGGCCCTTCTTGTCTCCATGGACACCCTCTCCCTGAGTCACCACTGGGAGGAGGGAGCTATGGCCCCTGGTCCCCTTGCCTGGTCTGAGGGAAGGCATGGCCTTCAGACCCTGAGGGCTCTTGAGGGACCTGCACCCAGGGTGCCCCTGGCCCATCTGGTAAGAACCGGGACTGGGCTGTGTCTTCCAGGCTGTTCGTCTCTGAGCGGCCCCAGGCGTGTGACCGGCACCGTGGGGGGATCGCTGAGCGTGCAGTGTCGGTACGAGGAGGAGTACAAAGACCATAACAAATATTGGTGTGAAGGCCCATGTTTCATGTATATGAGTTTCAAGATTGTGGAGACCACGGAGTCACAGAGAGAAGTGAGGCGTGGCCGTGTGTCCATCAGGGACCATCCAGCAAACCTCACCTTCACAGTGACCTTGGAGAGCCTCACAGAGGGCGATGGAGGCACATACTGGTGTGGAATCACTACACCACAGAGAAACCTCATCTACCCAGTTGATGTGTCTGTGTCCCCAGGTGAGCCGCACACACCCTCCCCTTGCCCCAGCTCCAGGCTGCCTCATCTGTACCTGGTCACCAGCTGGTCAGGGCAGACATTGGAACTGAAGAGAGGGGTGAAGTGGGGGGTCAGTGATCACAGCATGTGTGGGTGTTGTGTTATCTGGGCACACAGGCCCTGTGCATGCACACATGCGCGTGCACATACAGTCTATTCTACACCCCTTTGGGGTCCAGGCCCTGACACAGCTCAGGCCTGAGTGGTTCCTGAGGCTCTGGCCTCAAAGCCATGGTTTTGGGGTCTGCAGCAGCCATGAGCCTGGCCCAGAGGAGTCCCAGGTCCCTGTGTGGGGACCCCTGTGATATTTTGGGGGACCACTCTTCACTTCAGGCTGACCCTGTCTCTCCCAATTTTCTCTGATGCCCTGTCCTTCCCCGATTTTCTCTGATGCCCTGTGGCCACAGGAGGGAACGCAGAGACACCCCTGAAAATACCTCCCTCAGCAAAGGAGCGGAAGGGTGGTCACGTGGCTCTCAGGGGCTATGGCCCCCCTCCTTGCCTGCTCTCAGAACAATTCTCCCTCACAGGTCGCTGTGCTTGTCTCCTAAGTGCTGAGTGGAGGTCACCCACCACAGCGCACAGCTCTGCCTGCTGCTCCTGCTGGCCTTGGCTCTGGCTCCTTACTTCCTCCTTGTAGTTCCGGGTTTCTCACTCTCACAGGAGGTTCCCTCACTGGCCTTGGAGTCTTCCCATTGGAGAGTGAGGAATTGGAACTCCACGGAACCTCTGGCTGGGGGAGGGGAGGGGTTTGTCCCCGGCCTTCAGGACAGGCCACATTCTATGGGGTCCACCTGGTGTGTGTCTCTCTAGATCAGGTGGGGAACACCCAGCCCGAGGGCCATATAAGGCCCAGGAAATCATTGGGTCTGGCCCTGCCAAGGCATTGGGGGTGAGAGAATGAAATGCTTGGCCAATCACAGCAGGCTAATGTTTAAGAGCATGATTTTGCATGGCCCGGGAATGATGTAAATATCCAAATGGCCCTTGGCAGGAAAGAGGTCCCCCACTCCTGCTCTAGGTCTTTCTTTTTCTAGAGAGGTCTATAAAGTGGGCCAAGGCCTGGCTGACAGTGTGAGGAACTGGCAGCTTAGAAACAGCTGGAAGCCCGGGAGCAGGAGGCCGGCCTGTGGGCGAGGCCCTCCTCCAGGTGGAGACTTTTGTTGTATCTTCCAGGGTGAAGGGGCCTCCCTCATCAGGGCACTAATTCCATGGATGAGGGCTGCACCCTCAACCAATCACCTCCAAATGCCTGACCGCCTAACACCACCCCTCTGGGCACGGGGCTTTGAACAAAGGAATTTTAGAGACAGGAGAGTTCAGACCATGGCATGTCTAAGGGACTGCAAGGTCCTGAAATCCACTGCAGACTCAGAGGCACATATGTGTCCTGGGTCTCTCGCCAGCCATTAGCCACGCCTGAGGGCTTTGGCCACCCATCACTATAGTCAAGGCTACAGAATAAGTGTCACCCTGCCACCTTGCTGGTGCTCTTCCCACAAACTGTCAGATCCTCTGCTCAGTAGGATGACTCTGCTTCTGACATGCCCAGCAGGCCACGGAGTTCTTGGAGAGGAGCCCCGGGGAAGGGGCCCTGGGCAGGTCTGGCTTGGCTATGACAATGGATGGGAAGACCTGAGTGACCTTGACCTTGTGTCAGAGCCACACAACTGACAGAGTGGAAGACCCAGGGTCTGACATGTGCTTCTCCCTCAGCCCCCAGCCTGAAGATCATCACAAGCACCCTGGGCCCTCTCTCCTCCCTGCCAGTGACCACCGGGCCCCGTGTGACCAGCCAGGAGACGACTGACGCCAGCCAACACCCTCGGTAAGGGGCCCGCATCCCAGGACTTGGACACCTGGTGGATTCTCCTCGCGATGGGGGGGAGGTGAGGGGATTGGGGTGGTGAAGATGTGGCTCACTGTGCATTTCTATCACCATGTCCCCCACAGGTCCCTGCTGAGCAGTGTCCACTTCCTGCTCCTCATATTCTTGAAGGTACCCCTATTTCTGAGCATGCTCGGTGCTGTCCTCTGGGTGAACAGGCCTCAGCGGCAAACTTGTTAGGAAACACAGATTGCCTAAGACAACCTGCCACTGCCCCCCAGCGATGGCCTGTTCAGAGACACAGCCACTCCGACTAGAGAAGATGGAACCTCATCCCTGAACCTTACATCCCTTTCCAGCTTATCGCCAGACATTAAACTTTTCAATGAATATATCACCTACACAAACGTGTGTATAGGAACAGTTGAAGGATTAAAATAAACAACTGTATGCCCGCCATTCAGCCTAAGAAACCAAACATCACTGAGACATTTAAAGGGCCCACACACTTCTCCCTGCTCTCAAGCCCCTCCTTCTCTGCTGACAGAGTCAACCACTCTCTGGATTAGCTTGTGCCAATCATTTCTATTACCGTATTTTTTGGCGTATAAGACGACCCCCTAATTTTACAGTTAAAACATAGGTTTAGGCCTGTATTCGCTGTATAAGACTATCCCCCACTTCCGAGGCAACACCAGTTCTTTTTTTAATAGACCGCCTCTCTGACTCTGGCCAATCTGAGCAGGCTTTTTACTAGAACACAGTGTAGCTTCGGGTACAGAACATGTATAATTTGCATGCATAAAAGCCTGCTCAGATTGGCCAGAGTCAGAGAGGCGGCCTATTAAAAAAAGAACTGGTGTTGCCTCGGAAGTGGGGGGTAGTCTTATACAGCGAATATAGGCCTAAACCTATGTTTTAACTGTAAAATTAGGGGGTCGTCTTATATGCCTGAAAATACGGTACCCAACTTCATGGGTAAGAAGGAATAGCAAGCTTTGACAGTTCTTAAAGCTACCAGGAGATGGCGCCAGATGCAATTTGTAGAGCTTCATGATGGACCTCTCCATGGACTTAGAAATAATTCTCTTCCACCAAATCCAGACCATTGTATCCTGCTGGCCTTTCCCCCAGGCTGGTCCACTCCTGCCCCATCCTGCTCAGCAGCCTGGGCTATCATAGCAGGGACCCCCAGGTCTCCATTGGGGCCAACCAGAGGTGGACTCAGGCATTCAGGGGACCAGGGGCAGGGCTCAAGGTACCACCAGGGGGTCTGGTGCACAGTGGGCAGCTCAGACAGGAGTAGACTGGACCTAGGGGAGAGCATGGAGCCAGGCGCCAGAGACGAAGACACACCCCATTCCGGTCCAAGGCTTCAGATTTCTTGAGAAGCAACACCATGTGGACCTTCTGATTTCTGACTCCCTGGGAGAGGCAGGGAGACCCAGGCCCTCAGGAAACACGTTTGCTAGCTTGGAACTTCAGGTGGTGACAGTGTCAGCACTTCCTATTCCCCAAAAACAAGGGAACTGTGTCTAAAGGACTAACCATGACCAGCGCCAGGAAGTGTCTAAGGAAGGGCAGCAGTGGGAGGAGAAACAGGGAGACAGAGGTGCAGGGTGAAGTGAGGTGGGTGGGAAGTGGGGAGGGGTGGCGGGGCCCATCTTACAGAGTCCAGGGGAAATCTACAGTTGGGCCCTGGCCTGGCATCCCATGAACAGCCTGGAAGTTAGTCTGTAACATGATCTCTACATTGAATGATCTGTGCAACCACATGCTGTGTTGGTAGATGTGTTTATGCTATGTATTTATACATGTGTCACCAGAGATACCTTAAATAGGCCCCACCTCTTGACCTGCCCCCCTACCCTTTCCAGGGCAAATTGGCCCTGGAGCCATCATGTCCTCAGACCACCAAGCCTGTCTGAGGTAGGACAGACCTGCCACCCCACCTCCTGGGAAGGCTCACCCCCATTTCTGCCCCTTGAAGAGGCCCCTGGTCATCCCAAAGAGACTCCAGCAGCCATGCCATTGGGAAGACCGCCCTCTCTGTGCCATTGGAAGGAGAGGAAAGGCTCCATCCCAGCTGGAGTGCCCCCCACTTTCCATCCTCTGAGCTCTGAGCTTCTCTTGTCCGCTGTCAGACCTCTGTGTGGAGTCTCACTGAGGAGGTGACTTTCAGAAGAAGAAAGCGTCAAAAGGGAAGTCCTTAGAGGGTTGGTGAACAGGGAAACCCACAGGAGAGAGGACTCAGCCTTGCATGGGACCCCACAACCTAGATGGGAGCTTTGAAGGCGTCTGACGTAGAAGAGTCGGGGCCACAGGGTCAGAGCTCCCGTGGGGCCTGCAACAACATGTTGGGGTCATCACACCTCTGTGGTCCCCACTGAAGCCCAAGTGGATGAAAAGATCTGAACCCTACTTCTTGACTACAAGGAAGTGACATGGGCAGGGGGTGGGGACACCCATCGAGGAGGAAATGACCCAGCGTGGCTCTGCTGTGCGGAGACATGTGTGGCCGTCACGGGAGCAGCCGTGTGCTCTGAGAAGGGGCAGCCTCCTCACTGAGGCCACGGGCCTGTCCTGTCCTTGGGGTTGAGAGCAGAAGCCCAGGAGCCGAGAGCCGGGTCTGCAGCAGCCTGTGTGGCTCCTGACCCTAAGCTTCCCGCACCCTGACCATCCAGCATCGCACTCAAAACTGGGCTGGGCACGGAAGCAGAGGCCCAGAAAAGCGGAAGTGGGCACAGGCCAATCCCACCCTCAGCCAGGAGGCTTGACTGTGTGCCCACGCAGGGCCTGGCGCTGCTGCAGGCCGGTCCGTGCGGAGGAATGACCCCGAGGAGGGGGCCCACATGGCTGCTTCCAGCTCTGTTCCTCCTCCAGGTCCCAGGTGAGCGGGCTGTGCTAGGTGGGGCGCTGGGCCCCAAGTAGGAATGAGAAGGACTGGGAGGAGGAGTGGAGGGGGAGCCGCAGACCAGCAGGAGGGAGGGAGGACATGGGGGAGGGGAAGGAGAGGCAGAGAAGCTTCTGGAGCTGCCAGCACCTGCCTCAGCAGCAACCACAAGGATTCAGTGCACAAAGCAGGCGAGTCTCCAACACTGCGCTGACAGAGCTGCGCTGGGAGGCAGGGCCTATGCTCACCGCCTTATTGTCATAACCAGGATGTGGGCCCTGGCTGGGGGCTCAGTGGTTAGAGCGTTGGCCTGTGTATGTTAGATTCTGGGTTAAAGGCATGTACCTGGGCTCATTCAGGAGGCAACCAATCAAAGTTTCTCTCTCACATCAATGTTTCTCTCTTCCTCTTCATCCCTTCCTCTCTCTCTAAAAAGCAATGGAAAAATGTCCTCAAGTGATTAAGAAAATTAGAGATGTGGTCCTGGTGCATCACACACACTTATACACACACACATATCCATGTGTGCCTACACACACGCATACCTATGTTCAAACACACACATACATTCACATGTACACACACATGCACACACCCATTTCAAACACATGCACACACTCCGTTTTTCCCATGTGGCCCCCTTGTCTCCATGGACACCCTCTTCCTTTGTCAGGACTGGGAGGAGGGAGCTATGGCCCCTGGTCCCCTTGCCTGGTCTGAGGGAAGGCATGGCCTCCAGACCCTGAGGGCTCTTGAGGGACCTGCACCCCAGGGAGCCCTGCCCCTGGCCCATCTGGTAAGAAGCGGGACTGGGCTGTGTCTTCCAGGCTGTTTGTCTCTGAGCGGCCCCAGGCGTGTGATGGGCACCGTGGGGGGATCGCTGAGCGTGCAGTGTCGGTACAAGGAGGAGTACAAAGACCGTAACAAATACTGGTGCAAAGAGCCCTGTTTGCCATTGCTGAACCGGAATATTGTGGAGACCACGGAGTCAGAGAGAGAAGTGAGGCTTGGCCGCGTGTCCATCAGGGACCATCCAGCAAACCTCACCTTCACAGTGACCTTGGAGAGCCTCACGGAGGGCGATGGAGGCACATACAAATGTGGGATCGAGAGACCATTCGCTTTAGACCTCACCTTCCTGGTTGAGGTGTCTGTGTCCCCAGGTGAGCCGCACACACCCTCCCTTTGCCCCAGCTCCAGGCTGCCTCATCTGTACCTGGTCACCAGCTGGTCAGGGCAGACATGGAATTGAAGAGCCGGGTGAAGTGGGGGGTCAGTGATCACAGCATGAGTGGGTGTTGTGTTACCTGGGCACACATGCCCTGTGCATGTGCACACACACAGTCTGTTCCAGACCCCTCAGGGGGCCAGTCTCTGACCCAGTCTCAGGCCTGAGTGGCTCCTCAGTCACCGGCCTCACAGCCGTGGTCCTGGGGGCCTGCAGCAGCCATGAGCCTGGCCCAGAGGAGTCCCAGGTCCCTGTGGGGACCCCTGTGATGTTTTGGGGGGCCACCTTCCCTTCAGGCTGACCCTGTCCTCCCCGATTTTCTCTGATGACCTATGGCCACAGGAGGGAACGCAGAGACACCCCTGAAAATACCTCCCTCAGCAAAGGAGCGGAAGGATGGTCACGTGGCTCTCAGGTGCTAAGGCCCCCCTCCTTGCCTTTGTATACTTACAACAACAAAAAAATATACTAAGCTTAGAGCACTAGTTAAGTATGCAATTTTACCTATATGTTCCCAAAAATTCTAGCTTAGCACTTCTTAGTTGGGATTCAGGAATTGTATTTAACAACTCCACCAGTTGATTCTCATCATGAGAGAAGTTTGGGAAACACTGCTCTAGGGTGGAGAAGCCTCCCTTATCAGGGCACTAATCCCAAAAATGAGGGCTCCACCCTCAACCCAATCACCTCCAAATGCCTGACCGCCTACCACCACCCTCACTGGACCCGGGGCTTTCAACAAAAGAATTTCGGAGACAGGAGCATTCAGACCATGGCGTGTCTAAGGGACTGTGGGGTCTCGCCATCCAAGTCAGACTCTGAGGCATATCTGTTTCCTGGTGCTCTCTCGAGCCATCAGCCTGCCTGAGGGCCCTGGCCACCCATCACTGTAGCCAAGGCTCCAGAATAAGTGTCACCCACCCCTGCTGGCGGGATGAGGGGGAGAAGGTGCAGCTGTGGCGGGGGCGAGGCCGGAGCCAGGTGCTCTTCCCACACACTCTCAGATCCGCTGCTGAGCAGGACTATTCTGCATCCCTGCGTGCCCACTGGCCACGGAGTTCCTGGAGAGGGGACCGGGGAGGGGGCCCAGGTCTGGCCTGCCTGTGGCCATGATGGGAAGGCCTGAGTGACCTTGACCTTGTGTCAGAGCCACACAGCTGGCAGACTGAGAGACCCAGGGCCTGATATGTGTTTCTCCCTCAGCCCCCATCCTGAAGATCGTCAAAGCACCCTGGGTCCTCCAAGCACCCTGGGCCCTCCCTCCTCCCTGTCAACGACCACCAGGCCCCGTGTGACCAGCCAGGAGACGCCTGATGCCAGCCAACACCCTAGGTAAGGGGCTGGAATCCCAGGACTTTGGCACCTGGTGGATTCTCCTCTAGATGGGGGGGATGTGAGAGGGTCAGGGTGATGAAGATGTGGCTCACTGTCACCGTGTCCCCCACAGGTCCCTGCTCAGCAGCACCCACTTCCTGCTCCTGGTCTTCCTGAAGGTGCCCCTGCTCCTGAGCATGCTCAGTGCTGTCCTGTGGGTGAACAGGCCTCAGCGGAGCTCTGGGGGGAGGCGGAGTCAGCCCTGCTCTGAGCACCAGTGACACTTGCCCCATTGATGCCCCGCCCAAGAGCACAGCCCCGCTGTGGAAGGGAAGGACCTTCTGACCAATCAGTCCAGTGTCATTGTCCATGATTCTGTCAGAATAGTCTGTCAACTCATTAGAGAGTTTTTTTTCTTGCAATGTATTGGATACACACACAAGATTCCTAATAAATGCATACTCACTAAGCCACTCGTGTGCCCACCTTGTAACTCAAGTAACAAACACCATGAACCCTTCTGTAGCCCAAGCATGTCGTCGAGGGAACTAATTCTGAGTTCACGTTCATCATCTCCTTATTTTCTTCATGGTTTTGCCATGTATATATATTAGAGGTCTGGTGCACAAAATTCGTGCGCTCGGGGGAGGGGGTCCCTCAGCCCAGCCTGAGCCCTCTTGCAGTCTGAGAGCCTTCAGGGGATGTTTGACTGACGGCTTAAGCCCGTGGGGAGTGGGCCTAAGCCATCATCAGTTGGACATCCCGCCACCTCCGCTGTGCTCACCAGCCATGAGCCGAGCTTCTGGCTGAGCAGTGCTCCCCCTGTAGGAGCACGCTGATCACCAGGGGCAACTCCTGCATTGAGCATCTGCTCCCTGGTGGTCAGTGTGTGTCATAGCAACTGGTCATTATGCTGTTCAGTTGATTTGCATATTAGCCTTTTAATATACAGGAGGATATTTAAATATATTTTTGTTGATTTTAGAGAGGAATAGAGAGGGAGGGAGAGAGAAACATCAATGATGAGAGAGAATCACTGATTGGCTGTCTCCTGCACATCCCCTTCTTGGGGATGGAGCCTGAAACCAGGGCATATGCCCTTGATTGGAATCGAACCTGGAACCCTTCAGTTGGCAGGCTGACACTCTATCCACTGAGCCAAGCCAGCTAGGGCTATAGATTTATTTTTTAACACTCCCCTAAGTTACTTTATTTTTTTCCCCCAGCTTTACTTTTCTATAACTGACCCACACACTGTGTAATTTTAAGTTTACAGTATTTTTATTTAGAACACTTACTGATTGTAAGTGCAAAATGGTGAGCACTATAAGGTGAGCTCACATCTCCATCATATCACGGATTTGCCATTTTTTTCTTTTTTAATTTTTTTTCCGTTTTTGTGGTGAAAACATTGAAGCTGTGTTCTCTTGGCGACTCCCAGGAGTATAACAGTGTCAGCCACTCCAGTCCCCGCTGCACATCAGGTCCCTGGAGCTTAGCTTAAAACCAGAAGTCGGTGCCCTTTGACCAGCACCCCCCATTGCTCCTACCCCGCTCGCACTTCTGCACCTGGCTGTCCCCCCCAAACAGGTGCCTCTTGGGGACGCCCGCATGCCTACCTCACTCCTGACTTGGTGGTGGTGGTGGTGGTGGGGAGCCCTGCTGCGGGGGTTGGCATGCACCCTGGAACCCAGGGCAGATGCCCCCTCCTTGACCCTCCTGCAGACAAGCCTCCCCGGCCCTCCTCACCCTGCACAGCGCCTGGCTTCCTCTTTCCTCCGAGAGGGGACTCTGGTGTCCTCTGAGCCAGACTTACAAAGAAGCGACGCGCCTCTTGCTGAATAATGAAAAGCAGGAAATGCTCTACAAAAGGAAGTGGACGCATCAGAGAGACGCAAAGGCGGTCTGGACAGGCAGAGGGTGCCAGCGGGGCCAGGCGGAGCTCCGGGTCCAGCCGGCATCACCGCTCGCCGGTGCCGAGCGGCCGGGAGCAGGACCATGTGGCTGCCCCCAGCTCTGCTCCTGCTCAGCCTCCCAGGTGAGTGCCTCGGGCCTCGGGGACGGAGAGCTGCAGGGGCAGAGCGGGCGTCGAGGGCAGCTGTCCCGGGACAACGGGAGGGGCGGGGGACGTCCCGTCTGGGAAAACGAGAGGCGGCTTTGTTAGTTTATTGAGCAAAAGCTCAGTGGGTCCTGCTCCGGGCCAGGCGTGCCAGGCGAGGGGAAAAGAGACACAGGACTGGTTGTTAAAGAGGGGACCCCAGAGGGCTCTGTGGGGGAGGCTTACAGACGGACAAACAACCCCATGGCAGGACAGAGTCAGGCGTGGTGGACTGTGCTCAGGGGACACCGAGGGACATGTGCGCTCACACACGCCTGCACAGTCACACACACACACACACACACCCCGCATCTCCCGCATACGCACCCTCCCTCACCAACCTTCCTCCCCCAGACCAGGGCCAAGGCCCGCCACGGCTGACCTGTGGCTTGGGGACGGGACTGTGAGTGACCTCGGAAAGGGGGGTGCCGTTAGGCAAGGATGAAAGAAAAGCCGCCCCCCAAGTTCTCACCTACAGTCTGCCACTGGCCACCGTGGGGCCACGTCTGTGAAACACGGGAGGGGAACGTGGGTGAGGTCAGAACAGCCCAACTTCTGTTAAAACTCGGTCTTATCTGCTCGGTTGCATAAGCGCCCCCCCTCATGCCTCCTTCCACCCCCCAAGGGAAAGGCAGGGTGCTGGGTAGAGCGGTGCTAAGTGTCTGCAGGTGGAAACCCAGCCCCCCTTCTCCCCGTGACGGAAGTGGGGCCTGTGCCCCAGAAGTGACTTCAGCGCGTGGGCTGCAGGTCCGCTCGGGGTGTCAGCTGAGACGCCTTGCCCAAGAGCGGCCACGCCCGTCATGCACCCCATGCTCCGTGGGCGTCTCTGCGCTGAGCTCCCAGTGGCGGCCGTGGCCTTGGTTTGGGTGTCGTTAGTCACCTGCCTCCAGCCCAGCCACCGCTCAGCCGTCTCTCAATGTCTGGACAAGACTTTTCCCACGAGGATTTTGCACGTGGAGCCAGTTTTCCCGAACGATGGACGCAGGAGGGAGTTTCCGTCTGAGATTCACGAAAATGAACAACTGAAACGCGCACGGCCGATGCCTTGAAACCCGCCGGCCCTGCTCCCCAGCGCCCTGCTCCTGGCCGGCGGCTGTCCTGTCCTCTCGCCGCTCTCCCCCCGGACACACGCGAGAGTTCACTCAGACCTCACGGACCCGCCCACCCATCGGAAGCTGCGTTAATGAGAACTTCCCACGTGTTTTTACAAACATGAGCCCAATCCCGCTGGGAGTGACTTCCAGGAGCCCCACCTCCAGTCCGCATCTGGTTCCCGCATGTACCATCACAGTGACCCTGCAATCCGCCTCCTTAGACTGGCTGCCCGGTGAGGTGGAAATTACAGTTAATCTTAGAGTCAAAACGATTCTGTCCAAGCTCTTTTCCAGAACAACCATAAACTGGATTGGTGCCTACGAGGATCCCGACCCAGTGCAAGCCACAGGGGAAGGACTGGGGGGGGGGGGAGAGAGAGAGAGAGAGAGAGAGAGAGATCAGGGGAGACACACAGAGAAGATCAAATCCCACCAGCTGGCGCTCAGCTTCCTGTGGAGGCCGCGGGAGCGTCGGGTTGGGAAGGGGAATGAGACTTTGCAAACAGGGCGTCGCCAGGGATGGCGGGCAGGGGTTAGACAAGGTTTTCAGGGGGAAGAAGGACTGGAGCCATGACCCAGCTGCTTGGGAGGACTCGGCAGACTCCGGGGAAAGCGGGGTGGGTCATGGGGAGAGCAGGAGGCAGGATGGTGCAGGGAGTGGCGCTGGGCAGAGACCTGGGCCCCAGGCTGCAGGAGGACGCAGGCCGAGCTCCCGCGTTTGAGATCGCTCTGGGACTGTGGGGAGCGGCTGTGTCTGGGAGCCACATCCTTTCTCCCCGTCTGCCTGGCGCTGGCGCTGAGGCCACTTCCTGAAGGTGTTCACGTGCTGCGGCTGCAGCCGAGGACTGGGGAGGGGCGGTTTCGGGGCATGGCTCCGATGGCCATATTGGGGGGAGGTCGGAGGAGGGGAGCAGCAGGAGGGGAGACCCGCTCCAGGTGCTACCACCACGATCCACGCACCAGAGGATCGTCTGGGCCCCCCACCAGCACCCCCGGGGGCGGGGGCTGGAGCTGCTCACACGGGTGCACAAGGACCGGCTCCGAACAGCCCTTCCCAACTGTGTGCCCAGGCCCGGCACTGATCGGCCGCCACAGAAACTGGAAATATCTACAAACCGGAGATCCCCACCCCCACCTGGGGGGTGGGGCTGGCTGTTCAATATTTACCGGCACCCCCTGGTGGTGCTGATCTCCGCGGGGGGGTGTTGGGGAGGGAGAGTGGTGGGGCAGAACCAGAGGGGGCCTCTGAGCCAGAGCAGTCAGAGATCAGGCGAGAACGGCATCGAGAGGACCATGAGGGACGGGTCAGAGGTCAGAGGTCAGAGTGAGCACCTCTAGGAGACGAGGCCCAAAGAGGCCAAGCACTGTTGCTGGGGGAGCCACGGGGGAAGCTGGACGGGGGAGAGGGTAGATGCGAGGGGCAGGCTAAGGGGTGGCCGGGAAGGCCGAGGGTGCTGGCCCAGGGCCCAGGCATCCGCCTGGAGCCCCCTGAGCCCAGGTCAGGCCTGGCTGGGGGTGGGGACGGGGGAAGAGGGGCAGATCTACACCCTGGGATTCTGTCTTCCAGGCTGTTTCTCCATCCAAGGCCCCAAGGTGACGAGAGGCCTGGAGGGGGGCTCGCTGACCGTGGAGTGTCGCTACACGCCAGGGTGGGAGACAAACAGGAAGTGGTGGTGCCGGGGAGCGAACTGGCGTGATTGCCGGGTCCTCATTCAGACCACGCCAGGGCAGCACACAGTGCAGGGACCCCGGCTGTCCATCAGCGACAACCAGAGGGACCGCGTGATCTCGGTGACCATGTGGGACCTCCGGCCCGACGACCAGGACACCTACTGGTGTGGGATCAAGAGGCTCGGCACAGACCGCGGGGCACCCGTTCGAGTGATCGTTGTTGGCTCAGGTGAGAACTCGCTCGTCGCTACTCGGAGGCCCTGGCGCTCGGGCTGCCAGAGCAGAGGCGCCTGCCCCTCCTCCCAGGGGCAGCAGGGAAACGGCCGAGTTCCTGGGAGCCGGTGTGTGAGAGTGAGCGAGAGGCAGGCAGACGGACAGACAGACGGACAGACAGATGGGGAGGGAAGCGAGAGGAACTCAGGCCGAGTGGCCCTGGGACTGGGAGGGCCTGAGCCCGGGAAAGGCAGGGGCAGCCGTTGGGTGGAGGGGCCCAGAGAGGATGGACCAAGCCCGAGTGCTCCCCCAGCTGCCAGGAGGGAAGTGAGATCGGAGGGGACACAACCGGATTGACTGACACGTGAGCGGGGACTGGGCGGGCCAGCGTGTGCCCAGGCGGAGCTTCCGGGAGAATGGCGTTGAGGGGGCTCGGGCACCAGCCTGTGAGGCGACCGTGGCCTCAGCCAGGAGCCACCCGCTGTGGCCGAAGGTGGGGCCTCAGGGAGCAGAGTTTGCCGGGCCTGGGATCAGAGGCAGGCACACCAGGGACGCCGGGCTGGCTGGGCTCGGGAAGCCAGACCACGCTGCTCGCCGGCAGCGTCTCCCAGGCTCAGAGGTGCCGTTCCCCGTGGTCGCTGTTCACCACTGAACCAAAATGCACCCTCTTGTTCCTCAGCCTTTGGGGTGCTCCCTGCCCTCGTCACCCCCGGAACCGGGAGTCCCATCTCCAGAACCGTCTGTCCCTGAGCCTGCTCGGGCCCTGCTTGAGCAAAAGGCCCAGGGCTTCCCCCCACAACCAGCCGTCCCCCCTAGAGGGGCCGGAAGAGAGGCGCTCTCTGCTCAGAATGAGCCCGAGCCTGCGGCCACGTAGCTGTGACTGCTTCTTGCCACACCTGGAGGGGACGGAGGGGTGACTGTGTGTTGGGTTCGGCTGGCACAACAGAAGCCCCTCCTCCAGAAGACTAATGCTTCCTGATGGGGGGGGGGCGGCAGTAAGGGGGACCCGTGGGGGCTGGCGGGGGGGGGGGGGCACTGTGAGCCACACACTAGCACGGTCTGTGTCATCAATAACCTTCGGCTGACTCTGTTGTGTCTAGAAAACCTATCATCCTGGACAACCGCCAACAGCTCAGGGGTGTCCTCTGGCTCCCGCATCCGGTGAGTGGCTGGGGCCCCTTCCCCTGCCCCTACCTGGGGCCTCTCCAGTGGGGTGGCCGAGCCTGGAACCCCACTGCCCGGGGGCGGTTGCCCATCATAACCAGTGTCAGGGCACAACGCCCCTGCCCGTCTCACCCCTCACCCACCATGGCCCAGCACTCACCAGACCCCGCTGTGTGCAATGCTCCTCCGAAGCATCATCATCCTGGTCGTTTGTCAACAACAACAAAAAAAGCCTCCTGTCCTGGTGGGGCCACGGGGCCATCAGACACGAATTTCCATGACCCAAAGCTCAGGCCGCAGAGCAGGAGAGAGACTCGGGGAAGGAAGCTGGGCCTGGTGCAAAGCAGAACCAAGGTTGCCTCCGGGAGCCCTCCTGGTTGAGCCGCTGCGGAGGCTCAGGGGGCCTTCAGCGCGGGGCAGCCGGGCCGGGGTCGCGGGCTGGGCTGGGCGGGCGGATGCCCCGGGTCAGCCCCTGGGGCGGCTGGGCCTGGAGGCCGGTGCTGACCGCTGTCCCCGCCACAGAAACTACTACCTGCTGCTGGTGTTCGTGAAGGTGCCCCTCTTACTGGGCGTGGTCGGCGCCATCCTCTGGCTGAAGGGGCCCCCGAGGGCCCCCGAGGAGCAACGGGAGCTGCCCATCCAAACCAACCTGTCCTACGACCTGGCCGGAGACGCCGCGCCTTAGACGGACGGACGGACGGAGGAGAGACACTTGGGCGCTGGCCCCCGTCTCCAGGGGAGACCTGGGCTGGGAGGCACGCTGCTGCGAGGATCCCAAGCCCCTGCTCGGCACAGCCCAGGACACAGGTGGATTCCCTCCTGACTGGTCAGCGCTGCCGGAGGGGCACACTGCTCCCACTTCTCCGGGTGGAAAACAGCCCGGCCCGGCCAGGCCCGGCCCAGCTGGGTCCGGCTGAGGGCCAGCAGCTGTGGGATGGAGCCCGCGCTGGGAGAGGCGTGTCCTCACTGGAGGACCTCGGCATGGAGCTGGGGAGCGAAGAGCAGAGAGAAGCGCCAGGAATGTGCCCAAAGGAGAGACAGGACCAGTCCCCGGTTCCGGCGGGTCCTGAGGCCAGCTCCGCACCGCGTGCCTGCGCTTCTGGAATAAGACTAGGGCAGTGGTCGGCAAACTGTGGCTCTTGAGCCACATGCGGCTCTTTGGCCCCTTGAGTTTTTAGCAAAGGCCAGCTTACGAGTGCCCTGATAAAGTTAATAACAATGCACCTATGTATATATTGTAGTTTAGGTTTAAAAATTTGGCTCTCAAAAGAAATTTCAATCGTACTGTTGAAATTTGGCTCTGATGACCAATGAGTTTGCCGACCACTAGCTAGGGGTTTAACTTTTTCCTTTAGCTAATCAAGTTGGGTTTGATGGCTCTTCCCATGAACACACTCTCACACACACACACACACACACACACACACACACTGACACACACACACTCACACGCACACTCACACACACACACACACACACACACACACACACACACACAGGGGCGGGGAGTCTGCGGAACTCCTGGTCTGGGGCCTGAGAGATGGATGTTGCTGGACCTGGGGAGGACACTGCTCCGAGTTCACGGGGCTAAGGAGGGTCCGAGAGCCCAGGGCTGGCCTTTCGTACTCCCCCTCTCCCCCCATTCCCCCCAGCCGGCTCTCAGCACAGCTTCCCTGGGCCTGGGCTGCAGCCTCGGAAACTACCTCAGGCCAGGAGGGCGACCAGGAGGGCGGCCAGGAGGGCGGCCAGGAGGGCGGCCATAAAGCGGAGGGGACGGTCTCTGCTCCGTTAAAACCCTTGGAGGGCACCTGCCTCTGCAGGCGCCTCCCTCCCAGAAACCACCGCCTTGGCTGTGCCACGGGGTCTCGGGTCCTCACATCGGGGGGCGTCTCTGCACGGGGGTGGGGGGAGGAAGTCCCACGGGGGGTGCCCCCAGGCAAACACGGGGCACCGTTTGGAATCTGCCCCGTTGGCTCTTTCTTTGCCCAGCTTATTGAGGTGTGCTTGACATACAAATTACATGTATGTGAGGCATAAATGCGATTTTAAGAAAATGCAAAATATGGTGGTGAAGGCAGGGAGTGGGGGCGGGTGGGCTAGGGAGTCATCGGGAGAAAAAAGGGGGATGTAATACTTTCAACAATAAAGATTTTTTTAAAAAAAAAATAAATAAAACACAACAAGTGCAAAGTTTGAAGATTTGATGCGTGTTACGTCGTGAAATAATCCCCACGCTCAGGCCGCCACACCCGTCAGTTCGCTCAGTTGTCTTCTTGGCTTGTCTCGTGGGTGAGAAGGCCCAGACGGACCCGCCCAGCGCATCTGAAGTGTCCGCCCAGGCTGCTGACCACGCCCCCGCTGGGCGTGGGCCCCCGAATGCGTTCCTCGGCCACGGGGAGTGTGTGCCCTGACCAGCACGGCCCGCTTCCCCACGCCCCAGCCGTGGTTCCTGTGGAGCGTTGCCCTCTGAACTCCCAGGCGGGCGTGTCTGCCCTGCCGTTGGCCCTCACAGGTGGCCCTGCTCCTCGGCCCCCCGCCAGGGCACAGGAAGATGCGGGGGATCTCCTGGTCCCGTCACCGTGGCCTGGCGGAGCCTTCCTCCCCGCTGGGGGCTGCAGTCCCTTCTCTCCCCGCTCCCGCTGCGGACAAACCCTCTCCCACCTACGCCTGGTTAAGGGGCTGAGAACTCCATGGCGCCCAGCCAAAACAACGGCGGGCATTGCTGGTGCAGGCCTGGGAGCGGGAAGACAGGAATTCTTCAAGGCGCTCTCTGGAACTGGTTTGGCTCAGTGGATAGAGTGTCCGCCTGCGGACTGAAGGGGTCCTGGGTTCGATTCCAGTCAAGGGCATGCACCTTGGTTGCAGGCACATCCCCAGTAGGGGGTGTGCAAGAGGCAGCTGATCGATGATTCTCATCGATGTTTCTCTCTATCCCTCTCTCTTCCTCTCAGTTAAAAAAAAATCAGTAAAATATATATATTTTTAAAATTCTCCAAGGCGCAGCTGCAGGCCCCAACCTTTTGTGCTGGTGGGATCCAGCTGACCCTCTGACAGAGATGCCTAATGAACCTCAGGACATCACTGCTCATCCATTCGTGACTGCCCACTTTACTGAGTGGCCAGGATGGCACAGATGCCCTCTGACACCTGACTCTCAAGTTCATGCAGAGATTGGGGGACTTTTGGATGTGTCTTCTGGTGTCTCATTTGGTGGTGGGGCCCTCTGATCTCCCACCCACACCACCCAGCACGGGAACCCCTCCCCCCGTAGATGGTATTGCCAGGCTGGTAGAGAACTGAGGGCCGCTCTCCATCTTGGAGCTACAGACTCTTCCCCCAGCATGGGACCTGTCTCCACCACCCAGCGTATGCCATCACTGTCCCAAAGATAACTGATTAAATTGGCCCTGATATAGCAGAGATGGGGAGGAAGAAATCCAATGCTAACATCCCCTAATCACCAAACAGGAAAGGTGGGCAGAATCTTCACTATCTCTTTGTGGTCAAGTCTTCGAGATGAAGATTCTGCCCACCTTTCCTATTTGGTGATTAGGGCATGTTAGCCTTGGATTTCTTCCCTCCCTGTCTGTCTCTTTGTGGGGGAGAGAGACATGAGGCCAGAGGACAGGTCTGAGCCTTGGAGAGGAGGGAGCTGGGGCTGGGAGTTGGGAATGGGAGTGCGAGGTGGAGAATTGCCACATTCTATGGTTCTTACACCAGAACCACTGGAGGAGGTGCGAGAAGGCAGGTAAAAGAGAAACACCAGGAGATCTGGGCTGGAGATGTGGGACCGGGGAACCAGCATCCTGATCACTATGGTACCACAAGCCACACTGGCGACTGCGCAGCAGCACTGTGGCTGGTCTGCAGGGAGGTGTGTGGTAAGGAAGTCTCCCGCCATGCACACCAGGAGTTGAAAAATTTTTTATGACAAAAAGAATTTAAAGTATCTCCCATATCATTGAGATAATATTTTGAGTGTATTGGGTTAAATCAAATAGACGACTGAAATGGATTTCCCAGAGGCAGGAGCTGGAGAGGGGGCCTTCAGAGGCTGCCCCTCAACCCTGCTCCTTCTCAGCCTCTTGGAGCTGAAGGGTGGGGTGGAAGGGCCTGTCTTGTTCCCAAGTGGAGAGATGTTGAGGGAAATCCAGTAACACACCCCTAAGCAAACACATGCCAGTGTCACCATGAGCTGGGTGCTGGGGATGCAAGAATAAACAAGATGTCACTCCTGTACTCAAAGAGCTGCCACCCACAAACCATCCCCCTCCAGAGACCAAGGCTGTACAGGGTGAGGCACCAGATTCCAGCCAAGTCTTCACAGAGGGTGTCACACTCCCATGGGAAGGACAATAGGGTCTCCCAGGTGGAGAAGGAGGAGCCCTCTCCCCACCATCCCCCACCCCGACCCCCGGCAGAGGGAGAGCATAAAGACACATAAAGACTCGGAAGAGCTTGGGGGCACGGATGGGAGCATTTCTCAGGGTGTCAGGACCGGGAGGGAGTGTGTGTGTTGGGGGAAGGGGGGGGGGGGGGGGAGATGAGGCCAGAGGACAGGTTTGAGTCATTAGCTAAGAAGACTGAGAACATCTGTGAATAAAATCAGGATGGCTTTTCTAGTCTTCCCTCCCCTGGGTAACTCTCTTGAGTCCTTTAGAATTAAAAATAAACATTTTCAGACTAAAATAAAGTTGAAAAAAAGAACAACCATGGACTTGCCCATCATTGGATAAGGCTGGTCCAATCAGCACCGTGAGAAAACCCAGGGTTGACCACACGAGTCAGACCCAATCCTGAAGAATGGGAGCAAAGGGCACCAGAGTGGGATTGGGACTTGTGGATTCGGTCCTTGCATTGCTGTGACCTTCCCCATGGTTTCCCTGCTCCTGTGGTCCACACAGCCTGTGAACAGTGAGACCCTAGGCTTGAGGGACTTCATTTAAAATGCCTTGAGCACTCAAGCCCTCGCTGCACGTTTACAATGGTGGTGTTGATGAGCAGAAGGAGGAAGAGGGAAGCTACAAAGCAGGAACCCTGCTTATCTTGTTGACATCCCCATCCCCTGGAACTTAGTAGACAGTTTCCAAATAGATGTCAAATAAGAGAATGAGGAAATGACAGAAAACGGGTGGCCTTGAGTGTGAGAGTGGGGGCTACCTCTTCAAGAACGTCATGGCAAGAACATCAAGAGAATGGAAGTTTAGAAAGACACAGGGAACGGGCCAATGTCATGAGTTGGCTTTACCTTAAAGAGCCAAAGACACCCACAGGGACACCTGGCAACAACTGAGACAAGTTTGGTTGTCACAGTTGGTGTTGGTTTGGGGGTGACATCTGCTAGGTAGAGGTCACAGATTCTGCTAAACCAGTGGTCGGCAAACTCATTAGACAACAGAGCCAAATACCAACAGGACGACGATTGAAATTTCTTTTGAGAGCCAAATTTTTAAACTTAAACTTCTTCTAATGCCACTTCTTCAAAATAGACTCGCCCAGGTCATGGTATTTTGTGGAAGAGCCACACTCAAGGGGCCAAAGAGCCGCATGTGGCCGGTGAGCCAGTTTGCCGACCATGGTGCTAAACCAACTACAATGCACAGGACAGCTCGCCACAACAAAGAATGATCTCAGAATGTCAATTACCCAAGATGTCAATAGCTAAAGAAAATCAAACATTGAGTTACCACACGAGCCTGCACTGATATTCCTAGGGGTATACCCAAGAGAAATAAAAACATATGTCTCGCGTGGCTGGTGTGGATCAGTGGTTGAGCATTGACCTATGAGCCAGGAGGTCACGGTTCGACTCCCAGTGGAGGCACATGCACTGGTTGCGGGCTCCATCCCCAGTGTGGGGCATGCAGGAGGCAGCCAATCAATGCTCTCTCTCATCATTGATGTTTCTTTCTCTCCCTCTTCCTTCCTCTCTCTCTCTAAAAAAATAATAATAAATAAAAACTTGTGTAAAAAATATGTAATAGTGCCAAGGTCGAGAAACTGTCTGAACAAAGAATGTGATGGCAGGAAAGCAGAGAGGCGAGGGGGGCTGCTGCTTCCCCTGACGCCATCCACCTCCCAAACCCTTGGGGGCTCGGTCCACTGGAGGAGACAGGTAGGTCCAAGCATCGGGCCCGAACCCCGCTGCTGCTCACGCACATTCTCCTTTACCCGCCCTCCGTGTCACCCCTCCACGACCTTATTGGTCTCCATGCTAAACCTAAATTTCACCAGAAAGAGAAAGCAGGTCAGAGAGAGCCAACAGCATCAGGCAGGGAGGGAGGAACTTACATCACGGTTGAAAGCAGCATTGTGTAAGGTGCGCACACCCCTCTTCCGCAGGGCCCACCTCCCCGCCCTTCCAGTGGCTCTGGATGGTGGGAGGGCCAGGCTTCTGTTTTTAAAGAATTTTCCAGAAAATACGAGTTTGCTTCTGAGCCTGGGAGGGGGAAAGCACGGAAGGGCCACCGGCCACTGATGGTCGAGGACGAGGAAACGCCTCCGATGGCTCCAAGGAGCTGGTGGGCAGAGGGAGTTTATGTGGGACCCGCCCTGTCTGAGCCAGATCTGTCCCCCCAACCACAGTCGGTGTCTGCGCTGAAGTCTGGGTGGGGAAATTCAGATGTCGGGAAGAGAAGTTGGGTGTGAAATAAGGGAACTCAATGTTGGGGAGAAATTGAGGTTTGTTTGTTTTTTCTCAGCACCATGTCATCCCAGGGGTGGGTGGGGAGGGCCTTGCAAAGCTGGGGAGGAGTTTGGAGGTCCTTTCCCGTTTCAGGCCGGCCCTTCACCAGCTGCATTGAACTGGAGAAAACACCTCGGCATTGTCCCAGCAGCTAAGCCAGTAAGACCAGCTGGGGGCCAGGATGGTGATTCCAGGCGTGGCCACAGGGGGGAGACACAGGGTTGCGCAATCCCTAGGTCTTGCTCCATGGCTGAGCCCAAACAGAAGACTTGCTGGGGTGGGTGTACGGCTTAAAAAACGAGCAGGACCTAGGCTTGAGGCCATTAATACAGCCCCGGCCATCTCCCTAAGGCCGTGGGCGAATTTGGAAGTAACTGCCACCTCCCTGGACCAGCTGTGAATAGACTGATGATAACCAACCTCACTTCACCTGCAAGGATTTGCCACGTTGGCCCTCGGTGCCCAGTACAGGGCTGGGTTGTGAAGAGGAGTCTGGGTTGTAACACGAAGGCAACACACACACCGAAGGAGGATCTATCGAACACCAGCTCACACACCGGGAGCCGGCACTGGGGGCCACAGCTTTCTCCCACGGGGACCCCCGCAAGCAACCCACTCACAGATGCTTCTGAGAAAAGCTTTTTAGATATAGATATAGGTATAGGTATAGGTACATAGACATAGACATAGAAACAGGCATATATATATATATAGATAGATAGATAGATAGATAGATATAGATATAGATGATATAGATATAGATATAGATATAGATATAGATATAGATATAGATAGATATAGATATAGATATATAGATATAGATATAGATATAGATATAGATATAGGTATGGGTATAGATATAGATATAGATATAGATATGGGTATGGGTATGGGTATAGGTAGATATAGATATGGGTATAGGTATAGATAGATATAGATATGGGTATAGGTATAGATAAATATAGATGTAGATGTAGATATAGATATAGATATAGATATATAAATAGATATAGATATAAGTATATACAGATACAGAATAACAAAACAAATGTGGGAAATGTTTTTAAAATTGGGTGAATCTGAATAATTCCCACACACACTTTTGTCATCTCATTTTTTCTAACTCTAACTCTCTGGCTTCCCTCCCACAAAGCCCCTTGTGATTCCACTGGCCCACCTGGGGATCCAGGGTACCCCCTTCTGTGTGTGTGTGTTTCCTCTTTTGCATCTCGGAACAGCAGTAAGGAGAGAGGAGGCACTGGGATGAAGCACATGCTCAGACTACAAAAATCTGACACCAGATTTTCTGAAAGCTGGGCCCACAGCTCAGAGGAAAGTGCCCCAAAGGCTCAAGGTTGTTGTGATGGCAGCAATGCCACGCCCGGTACCCCGGGGGTCAGGGGCCGGCCTCCCTTTCACTTCCGGGATACACACTCCTTGCTTTTAACGCTTCCTTCACATGGGCCACAGCTTGGTGAAGAGTGAAGCAGAAGCCCTGAGCTTGCACAGCGGAGAGGGCGAGGGCGGGACTGCTGGAGGCAAGCCTGACCCTGCCGTGGAGAGAACACGGGGGGGGGGGGGGAGGGGGGGGGCGGCTGGCCCTGTCCCGCCCAGCACCGACCTCGGGGTGTCCCCTCCCCTGGGGCCCCTCCAGCCTCCCTGTGCCCCTCTGGGATGGAGGCAGGAGCTCTCTTCACTGCGGATGGCAGGCGCCAGCAGGCTCTGTGCCAATGACGCTCTTCTCTCGCAGGATGGTGTCACCTTTATTGCTGTCTCCTGTATCAGACGGAGCCTCGCTCAGAGTCCAGGGGGGCCCAGGGCGAGCCGCTGCTGCTGGGTCTGGGCCAGGGCAGCCCCCTCCCCCGGCCTCCACCTCCTCGCCTGGAGAGGAGGGTCTGCTCTCAGCTCCTGGGGTCCTCCCTCCCGGCCAGCTGGACACTTGCGTGGCCTTACAAGCTCCTCGGAGGAACGGTGTGTGTGCGCCTCCTTGTCCTGATCCCATGGGGCTGAGTGCATCACACCGCTGGAGGAGGCGGAGGAACGGGGGGAAGGTGTGACAGAGCCGGCCGTGGGAGGGTTCCTGCAGGCCCCAGGCCAGAGGGACAGTCTGCAGCCGCCTTGTGGGAGGGGAGCAGGCTGAGGGGCACGTGGGGGACGGGGGGTGGCCCTGGGCTCCCCACAGAGACCTCCAGGTGGGGAGCGGAGGCACTACGTCTTCCTAATCACGCTGTACTCGGGCTCCTGCTTCGGGGGCCTCTGGGAGGGACTCTGGTCCTCAGGGTCACAGTCCTGGGCAGTGAACACCACCGTGGAGTAGTGCAGGTCCTCCCTGGGGGCCTGCTGCAGAGAGAGGGCAGGGCTCAGGGAGGCGGGAACCACTGATGGGAGCAGGACACCCAGTGGGGGTCTCAGTCTTCCCCACTGTCCTGCCTTCTTTCCCCTAAGAGGACTGGGCTCAAAGATCCTGCTCCCCCCACTGTCTCCACCCTCCTCCCCTATCCCTCCCTTCTCTTCTCCCCCACCTTCCCCGCCACCACCCCTGCTCAAGCCAAGCACGAAGCTCAGGCATCGGGGCGGGCCCAGGGACCCACCCTGAGAGCATCAGTCACCGAGTTAGGAAAACAGGGTGTAGTCCCAGGGCCACATGCCCGAGGCCAAATCTCTCCCCATCTTCCCCACCAAGGGCTCCTCTGCTTGGCTTCCTCCACCAAAGGGGGGTCAGTGGAAGGTGGTGGGGCTGGGGACTTCCTCCTCCAGTTCCTGGTACACTGGCTCTGCCTAAGGACCTGCCTGCAGCCGGTCGTTGATAAGAACTGAAAGCAGAGCTGACACCACAGAGCTGATGGGACCGAAACAGCGAGAACTCGCCAGCCTAACACCGGGCCCATGGCACACAGCAGGTGCTTAATAAAAGCTGTGCTTTACTCGCTCTCAGGGCCGTAGTTCACTGGCCGCCCCCTCCCCCACGCCCAGCCCCAAGGACACCAAGCTCTGGCAAGGTCCACACCGGCCCCATTTTCTGTGAGGCTCTGTCTTTTGTTGTTGGTGTGAATCCTCACCTGAGGATATTTCCCATGGATGTTTAGGGAGAGAGGAGGGAGAGGGAGAGACAGAGAGAAACATCGATGTGGGAGAAGCATATCAATTCGTTGCCTTTTCCCCGAGCCCCGACCAGGGCCTGGGCTGGGGAGGAGCCTGCAACCAAGGTACATGCCCTTGACTGGAATGGAACCCAGGGCCCTTCAGTCCACAGGCTGATGCTCTATCCACTAAGCCACACCAGCTAGGGTTGTGTGGCTCCGTCTTAAAGAGACACGAAGTCACCCAGCCAACCCTCACTTACCTCTCTGCCCGCTGCCGCCCCCTTGTGGTGCCTCTGGCATAGCCCAAGTGCCCTCTCCGGAGGGGGGGTGCGCGTACTCACCACCAGGCTGTATTCCCCCTCCTCCTCCTGCCGCGGGTGCTCGGGCTCTCCCTGCAGGGGCCTCGTCTGCAGCTCCAGGTTGGCATAGCAGGGCTCACTCTGCAGGGCGGCCTGGGTGGGCAGGAGGCACGGGGCTGGGAAGCTGGGGTCCGTCCCAGAGGCCTCTGGGCCTGCTTCTCTGCAGACACCCCCCCCCCCCCATGCTCGGGGCCCACCTTCCCGCCCTGCCTCCCGCCCCCACGTGGGTCCTCTCTGAGTTATTGCTCCCTGGTCCGCGGCCAGGCTGGCCCAACCTCCCTCGTTCCCCTTTCCCTGGAGTGGGGGGCAGGCTGGCCAGTGTTCCCAGGCATGGCTCTTGCTGCTCGGGGCGAGCACCCCACTCCTTGCCTCGATGGTCCCCCCAGACCTCCTCTCGCCAACGGGATGGTCCAGCCCCCACCCCTGTGCGCCCACTACCTGCCACCCTCCTGGAGGAGCCCCTAACTGTACATGGGATTGACCAGAATGGAACCCGGGACCCTTCAGTCCACAGGCCGACGCTCTAGCCCCTGAGCCATCCCAGCCTGGACCTGGCGGCCTCTCTTACCTGACAGGGGTTCTGCAGGGGCTCCGGATTCCCACCAGCTGCGGATTCTACAGAGACAAGGGGGAGGGGGTTTGTCCCAGCACACGGCGGGACGGGGCTCCCACAACCCACCTGGGAACGGCCTTTGTCTGCGGACTTCAGCCCTGGGGACCCCGCCTCAGATCGGCAGCGGCCGGACTCAGGGCTTGTGGATGGGGAATGCCACGGAGGGGTGAGTGAGGAGTGACTGAACAAGCAGGGGTGAGCACACTCGGTTCCACTGCAGCACAGGCTCCGCGCCACCACCCCCTCGGGGGGCGGGAGGGGGCGGGAGGGGCAGAAAGGGCAGGGGGAAGAGCTGGGAGCACCACCGGGGACAAAAGGCCGCACTGAGGGGGTTCGGAGGACGTGGGCCCACTCTACCTGTAACACAGTGACCGGCACCAGCACAGGGCCGGCGCACAGTAGGTGTGTGAGTGTGTTAGTGTGTGAGTGTGTGAGTGAGTCTGTGAATGAGTGAGTGGGTGAGTGTGTCAGAGTGAGTGTGTGAATGAAAGTGAGTGAAAGAGTGTGTGAGAGTGAGTCTGTGTGTATGTGAATGAGTGTGTGAGAAAGTGTATGAATATGTGTGTGAACGAGTGTGTGAATGAGAGTGAGTGTGTGAGAGTGAGTCTCTGTGTATGTGAACGAGTGTGAAGGAGTGTGTAAATATGTGTGTGAACAAGTGTGCGAATGTGTGTGTATGAGTGTATGTGTAAGTGTGTCAGAGAGTGAGTGTGTGTGAATGAAAGTGAAAGAGTGTGAGAGTGAGTCTGTGTGTGTGTGAATGAGTATGAAGGAGTGTGTAAATATGTGTGTGAGAGTATGTGAATGAGTGTGAGAGTGTGTGAATGAGTGTGAGTGTGTGAGAGTGTGAGAGTGTGTGAATGAGTGTAAGAGAGTGTGTGAATGTGTGTGCATGTGTGTGTGAGTGTGGAAGCACCAGTGAATGGACGAGTGCCCCAGGCCTAGGAGAGGAATAAGGTATGACACTACATTTAAAGAAACACGTGCACAAACCGGACGGGGGAAAGACTGGAAGGGCGTGCCCACACGTGGCGGTTTCTCTTCCCTGGGGAGGGGGTTTCAGTTTTATTTCTGACGGGAACTGCTTTCCTCCTCTGCGCTTTTACTTGCTTTTGCATTTTCTACAACAATCACGGATCCCCTTTTTAAAGAGCTTTTCTAGGTGAAAGGGCATTGCTGGGGGTCACTGACACCACAGATTGAGACAGTCCAGGCTGGGAACCCCGCTCCTCCTGTCCTTCCCCCTTCCCACCCCACCCCCCTGGGGAAGAGGAAGTGGCTGACACCCATTCCGCTCCTAAAGGCCCGGCCGTGCTGTGGGAGAGGCTGGGCCATGGGCAGGTGGACGGCTGGGCCATGGCGGGTGGATGGGCTGGAGGAGAAGGGTAAGCTGTGTCCCCCGTAACCCACCCCGCACATGTACCCGCTCCCAGCCAGCTGCAGCCGAGAGAGAGCATCACCCGCCTGCCCCCACACCTGACCGCGGGCAGACGTCTGCATCCCACAGGGACTGCTGGCCGCTCCTCCGTGCTCACTGAACTCACCCCACGTGCTCATTGGGCACCCGCTGCCTGAGTGCCAGGCTCCGAGAGGCCTCCTCGGACCCGCCTCCCGGCCTGCGTGCACCACACCAGGGTCACCCGCTCCGGGTGAGGGCACACGCTCCACGCCCACCCTGGCTGGGGGCACAGGGGCGGGGAGCCAGCTCACCTTTGACCCGCCGCCGCCGCGCCATCCTCCAGGCCAGCAGCGAGGCCCCCAGCAGGAACAGCAGCAGAAGCGCCAACAAGACTAGCAGCACCGGGAGCCTGCGGGGGAGGCAGTTGGCAGAGTGTGGGCGGGGCCCTGGCCTCCGCCTTTGCTTCAATACATACATGAGGTCAGGGCCTGGCTCAGGGGTTGAGCATCGACCAGGAGGTAGTGGTTCGATTCCCGGTCAGGGCACAGGCCTGGGTTCTGGGCTCAATCCGCAGTCGGGGTGTGCAGGAGGCAGCCGATGGATGGTTCTCTCTCCTCATTGATGTTTCTGTCTCTCCCTCTCCCTTCCTCTCTGAAATCAATAGAAATATATTTACAACAGACAGCAGAACTCCTCCTTTCTTGTATTCAGATACAAGAAAACATGGATGTGTGATATTTTCAGGCCCTGACACCTGAAGGCGGGCAGTCCTATGGGACGGAGCCAACGCCGGGCGTGAGGGCGGGGACTGAACGTGGTCTGGGACGGCTTGCGTTTTTCTGGAAAGTCTACATATGAAGTCAGATCCTCCTGGGGCACGTGGCCCCCCGAGAGGTCACGGATCACCAGTTTAGAAGGAAGAACAGAAGCCACGGCGTCGGGCCCCAGAGCCTGTGCTGGAAGCCCAGCCTGCCTGCAGCCACAGGCCGCACAGAAGGTATCAGTGCGGGGAGGGGGGATAACAGCTGCTCTCATTAACCTTACCTTCCTTCTCCCCCCACTCCGCCCGCTCAAGCTTCGCTCAGACCCCAAGGGCTGTGTGGGTAACCAGGAGAGACAGCCTGTGGCTCCCGGCTGGGCCTGGCGCAAAGGGGGCCGGAGGTTCCCCCAGGAGGGGCGTGATCCCCCACCTCCCCCAACACACACCCCCCCGGGGCCACACGCCCGGAAGGGGGGGCGCCCTGCGCTCCCCTGAGGAGAGGCCCCCCCGGACCCCGGGGCGAGGGCGCCTTACCCGTGGCCCGGGCCCGGGTCCCGCGGCAGCGCGGTGCTGTCCTGGCTGTTCCTGCTGGGGGTGACGGTGCTGTTCCCTGCCGGGGCTGTGGGCACAGTCTGGGTCCCGGCTGTGACTGCGGAGGGCGTGGCTGCAGGGGTATTTGTGGTTGCAGTTGTCGTGAAGATTGGTGCTGGTGCGGAAACAAGAATCAGGCCCAGGCTCTTTCCTGACTCCGCCCTGGCCACACCGTTTAGGTGGGACTTCACCCAGCATGTCCCCACTGCCCCCCCACCTCCACCCCACCCTCCCAGGACCGTCCTGCCCCGGGCAAGCGAGCATTCCGAACAGACGCTGTACCTCCCCCAACAGCCCGATTCCTTCCTGCCCAGGAGGTCACTGTCCTCCAGAGGGGCCCCAAGTCCCCCACACCCTGCCTCGCCCCCGCGGCCACCGCCACGTGCTGCCCCCCCGCCACGTGCTGCCCACACCCCCGCCACGTGGTACCCCCCCCACCACCACGCGCTGCCCCCCCCTCTCTCTCCCCTCCACACACACACACACACACACACACACACACACACCCATACTCACACACACTTACACATGCACACCCACACTCATAATCACACTCACACACCCATACATACACACACCCATACACACACACAGGTCTCTCTCCACACACACATGCACACACACTTACACATGCACACCCACACACACCCATAGTCACACACACACCCACACACATATACACACAGTCTCTCTCCATATACACACACACAATCACACACAGTCTCTCTCTCTCGCTCTACACACACACACACACACACACACACCATCTCTTTCTACACACACACATACACTCACACAATCTCTATACACACACATATACACATTCACACACAGAGTCTCTCTCTCTCTCTCTACACACACACACACACACACACACACACACTCACTCACACACTCATAATTTGCTCTGAGTCTCTGATCTGATTCCTGCCTCAGCTATTCCGACCTGAGACTCTTCAGGCAGGACGAGGGGAGGGGGTGTACGGCTCACCTGGGGACACAGACACCACAACCAGGACGGTGAGGTCTAAAGCGAATGTTCTCTCGATCCCACACCAGTATCTGCCTTCATCGCCCTCCATGAGGCTCTCCAAGGTCACTGTGAAGGTGAGGTTTGCTGGATGGTCCCTGATGGACACGCGGTCGCTCCTCACTTCTCTCTCTGACTCCGTGGTCTCCACAATCTTCGTCCTCTGGAATATGGTACATGGCTCTTCGCACCAGTATTTGTTATGGTCTTTGTACTTCTCCTCGTACCGACACTGCACGCTCAGCGATCCCCCCACGGTGCCCGTCACACGCCTGGGGCCGCTCAGAGACAAACAGCCTGGAAGACACAGCCCAGTCCAGTTCTTACCAGATGGGCCAGGGGCAGGGCGCCCTGGTCTCCCGTTCCCATAGGTCTCCCGCTCCCATCAGCCAGATCACATCTTCAGGGCCCTCACCAGTCTGTCACCCCAATATTTTGATGACAGCAGCCCCTCTCTCCAGACCCAACCTCCTTTCTCACTGCCCTGCCCCCTCACTACCAGGGCCTCCTTTGCCAAACTCTCCAGGGCCGTGAGAACCCACCCCCAGCACCTGCTCTCCCCCAGCCCCTCAAGGAATTTTCCAGCATGCGCCCCTCCCCCACCCCATCGCAGCTCCGTCCAGGTGCCCTGACCACAAGCTCCTGTCAGTCCCTCCCCCACTGGCCTGGGTGAGCCCTTCCCAAGCCTGTGTGGGGGGGGGGGGGGAGGTGAAGGGGTGGGCTCAAGGGAAGGGGAGCACGCTGACTGAGATGCTCAGTAATGATTGTGCAGGAGAAGTGAAAAGGGCCTCAGGAGCACTGGGTCTATGTCTCAGCTCTATGACATGTCAGCTGTGTGTGCTGGGGCAAATTACTTAACCTCTCTGAGCTCCCAGCGCCTCCCCTGGGAAGCAGTGACAGTGGTGAGGCCTCACGTTGCCCTGTGGCACTGAGTGAGACAGTGGATGTGATATGCCTGGGAAATAACATTGGCTTGAACCATGTGAAACTGCTGGTATCCAACTGATTTTGACTCAAAACCCAGAAATTTCATGCGATTCAGTCTAACGAAAAGAGAGAACCCTCTGTCTAGCTGAATGAAGAGATGAAAAGAGAAAATGACCACAGATACGGAGAGAACGGGGAGAATGAAGATGGTGCATCGCAGAAATTCTTACAGATAATGTGCAACCTGGGGGAACGTGAGATTTTCTAGGAAAACACCGGTCACTAAAACTGCCACAGACCAAGGGCCTCGTCACTACAGGTCTGCTGCTGCCTTCCCCCATTCTCCAAGACCACACACACTCCTGCCTCCCCCATCCTCCATCCCCCATCCCCCATCCCCCATCTCCCATCCCTCATCCCCCAACCCCCATCCTCCATCCCCCATCCCCCATCCCCCATCTCCCATCCCCCATCCCCCATTCCCCATCTCCCATCCCCTATCCTCCATCCCCCATCCCCCATCCCCCACCCCCCACTCCCCATCGCCCATCCCCCATCCCCCACCCCATCCCCCATCCCCCACCCCACATCCCCATCCCCATCCCCCACCCCCACTTCCCATCGTCCATCCCCCATCCCCCACCCCCCATCTCCCATCCCTCATCCCCCAACCCCCATCCTCCATCCTCCATCCCCCATCCCCATCCCCCATCCCCCATCCCCCATCCCCCACCCCCCACTCCCCATCGTCCATCCCCCATCCCCCACCCCCATCCCCCACCCCCATCCCCATCCCCCATCCCCCACCCCCCATCCCCATCCCCCATCCCCCACCCCCCACTTCCCATCCCCCATCCCCCACCCCCACCCCCCATCCCCCATCCCCCATCCCCCATCCTCCATTCCCTTTCCCCCACCCCCATCCCCCATCCCCCATCCTCCACCCCCCATCCCCCATCCCCCATCCTCCATCCTCCATCCCCCATCTCCATTCTCCATCCCCCACCCCCCATTTCCCATCCCCCATCCTCCATCCTCCATCCCCCATCCCCTATCCCCCACCCCATCCCCCATCCCCCGTCCCCTATACCCCATCCCCATCCTCCATCCCCCCAAACCCCATCCCCCATCTCCCATCCCCATCCCCCATCCCCCATCCCCATCCCCCATCCCCCATCCCCCACCCCTCACCCCCCACTCCCCATCGTCCATCCCCCATCCCCCACCCCCATCCCCATCCCCCATCCCCCATCCCCCATCCCCCATCCTGGAGGACCACACTCCTGTCTCCCTATCCTCCATCCTCCAGGACCACCTCCTGCCTCCCCATCCCCATCCCCCATCCTCCAGGACCACGCTCCTGGTTCCCGTGACCAAGCTCTAGTTCCTCCTCCTCCTCCTCAGCGGTCCTCGCCCTGTTCTCCCTCTGCCTGGGTCCTGGTCCCCCTCTATGATCTGGGTCACCCCAGCACCCCCACCCACAACACCCAACCCTGTCTGTCCGTCTGTCCTCTCCAGTGTCTGACTTCCCTTTGTGCTTGTTCTTATGTGTTCTCTCTTTCTCTTTCCTCTTTCTCTAAAATCAATTTTCAAAATATGTTTTTAAAAAGGAGCAAATTGCCCTAACCAGATTGGCTCAGTGGATAGAACATTAGTTTGAGGACTGAAAGGTCCCAGGTTCGATTCCGGTCAAGGGCATGTTCCTTGGTTTCGGGCATATCCCCGGTAGGAGGTGTGCAGGAGGCAGCTGATCGATGTTTCTCTCATCGATGTTTCTAACTCTCTTTCTCTCTCCCTTCCGCTCTGTAAAAAATCAATAATATATATATATATATATATATATATATATATATATATATATATATATATTTTTTTTTTTTTTTTTTTTTTTTTAAGGAGCAAACCCCAGACAGTTCCCACGTTCCTTCTCTCAAGCTTCCCAGCAGCAGCCACTCACACTGTGCTGGCATTCGCAGGGAGCAGACACAGAACACCTCTCCGTCCAGTCCCTTCGTGAGGTCAGTGTGAGGTGGGGACTGACATCGGCCAGATCTCAGTGCGATGCACCCCCTTCATCGTTCAAATGAGAAAAGTATAATCATCTCCACAGATAAAGCTCTGCCCCGCCTGTTGCTGTTGATTTTAAATGCTTCAGAGACGCAGGCGGACGGACGCCTTGGTGAGACTCAATGGGATACCTGGCCGCCTGCGCTGGTAGGGAAGGCGGGGTGACCGCGCTGCCTGGGTCCCCAGGCATCATTCTGGCCCACCAGCTTGCCATGAAAGAGAAGCGAGGGAGGAGCCGGCGTCAGGGAGGAGCCGCGAGCTCTGGGTGCCAGCAGATCACGGAAACACCGGACCCGGGACCGGGAGGCTCAGGAGGCAGACGGCGGTGAGAGGCTGCCGGTTCCCAAGTGAATTCACAAAAAGTCATCGCTTTCCAACTGACACTGCTTGGCAGACGGGATGCAGGAAAGCCTGCCGATTAGCAGCAAAGCGGCCCCAGAGATGGCAGCTGCCCTAGGCTAAGCCCCACGGCTGCAGGCTGACTGAGGGCACAGAGGGCGGGGGGGGGGGGGGGGGGAGTGCAGGGGTGGAGGAGTGCTCGGAACCTGCTCCCTGGAGAAGGTTTCCCCTCCCGATGTCCCCACAGCCTGGCCTCTCTATCCCTCTCCCTGCTGGCCCCCAGGCCCTGCCCTCTCAAGGGGCCCTGCCTGCTCACCTCCACGTCCCTGAGACCAGGCCTGCTCCCGCCAGCCCCCCACTTCCTCCACACCCTGGAGGGCACCCCACAAAACCCAGCCCCTGGGGTGCCCAGGGAGGCCACTCTCCACCCCCACCCCCTGTCTCTCAAGCTCCCCAAAAGCCTCCCTCCACATACCCCCCCTTGGCTCCATGCCCACCTAGGATGTCGAAGAGTCAGACCAGGAGTGCGGTCATTCCGTCTGTCCATCTTACCCGGTGGACTGAGCGGGCGCCCATCCTGGGCTTTTGGATCCGGGCTGGGGTGCTCAGGGCACACCTCCGCACCCTGCCCTCCGCCCTCCTCCCGCCCACCCCGCCCCCAGCCCCTCACCTGGGACCCAGAGCAGCAGCAGGGCTGCGGGCAGCCCGGACGCCGGGCCCAGCGGGGTCATCTCTGTGCCTCTGAGGTCGCGGGCAGCGGCGCCCGGCTGCCTGCTGGACCCACGGCTTCTGTCCTCCTCCCGGGGAGGCCGGGCCCCCCGCTCCCACTTCTGTTTTTCTTTGTGCGGCTGCTTCCTTGTTCGGCTTCTGTTCCTAGATCTGGTCAGGAAATGGAGGGCTCCAAGGGGCAGAGGCTGGGCGGCTGGCTGAGACGCCCCAGAACCAGGCCTGTGCCCATTTAGTCCCAGAGCCGCAGGTTCTGTACATTCTTCCAGGAAGGATGCCCCACTTCCCCCTTCACAGCTCACAGGCCTGAGTCTCCCCTCTCACATCCTCCAAGGCAACGGGGCCCAGTAATTCCCCGGCCCGTTTCCTCTCATGTGGTCAGGGGAGACCGGGGGGCGGAGCCTGGGCAGCGCCCACAGGAAGGCCTTCTGAGGAGCGCTCTCTTTCTCTCTTTTTAAAAAAAATAAATATATTTTTTATTGATTTTTTTACAGAGAGGAAAGGAGAGGATAGAGAGCTAGAAACATCAATGAGAGAGAAACATCCATCAGCTGCCTCCTGCATACCCCCCACTGGGGATGTGCCCGCAACCAAAGTGCATGGCCTTGACCGGAATCGAACCTGGGACCCTTCAGTCTGCAGGCCGATGCTCTATCCACTGAGCTAAACTGGTTTTGGCAACTCTTTATCTTTTTAAAAATATATATATTAAAATTTAAAAATAAATATAAAAAAATAAATATATATCTATTTTTATTGATTTCCAAGAAGAAGGGAGAGGGAGAGAAATATCAATGATAAGAGAGAATCATGGATCAGCAGCCTCCTGCACGCCCCACCCTGGAGATGGAGCCTGCAACCCAGGCCTGTGCCCCGTCGGGGAATCGAACGGATTCCTCCTGGCTCACAGGTTGACGCTCAACCACTGAGCCAGGCTGGCCGGGCTGGGGAGCTCCCTTTCCATGAGCCTCCAGCTCCAGGCCCCAGGCCCTGACCCCCACGTTAGCACAACGACCCCCGAGTCCCTGAATGCTGTCTAGTCTGGGAAACGTGGCCTCAGTGTGGCCGGCAGGTCCTCAGGCCGTGACCTCTCACCCTGCACGGCCCCCGCTGGACCCAGCTCAGGGCAGGACACGGCGGGGCCTCAGCAAGCCCTCCTGGTCCATCACCTTCCCCCGGGTGCAAGGGAACCACGGAGCCTCGCAGGCTCTCCTTCTGGAAGGTTCCGCGGACAGCGTGGTAGGAATCGGGAGGACTTCTAGACGGATTCAGGCACGGACCCGCGAACACTGCGAAGACCAGGGCTGGACGGAAACGGAGACGCGCTGTCACCTCTGGTGCCTACTTGTCAAACACGCGGAAGTTCCCCCAAGATTTTGCAATTCAACCACTGGCTGCGGTGGTGACTGTCACGGTGAGAAGGGGGACGCCCAGGACTGGGAAGCAGGAGGCGGGGTTCTCCGGGGTGACCTTGAACAAAACCCAGCTCAGCTGCAGGAACAAACAGTATGACAATGAGGAGCATACTCTGAGGGAGGCAGTACCCCTTAGGCGTTGCCCGGGAGTGCATCTGTAATGGAAAGTATGTACCCTATGGGGTCCGAGCAGGAGGAGAGAAAGGGGAACTGGTCCCCCCCACACGCACCCTGCTCACCCCATCTGTCCACGAACCCTAAGGAAGAGACGAGGTGATGTCAGGCTCCCACACGATGCCAGAAGAGTAAGGAAGAGGCCCCTTGCTGCTGCTCCCTACTGACCCCGGGCAGACATGAGCCCCAGGCCTGAGCCCCTTTTCTCGGGGGGAGGGGGGTCCCACAAACCACAGGCCTCTCACTGGGCTGGGCCCTCTTCCCAGTGTGGACCCAAGCCTTCGGGTCCAGTGGGGAGGGTGTTGCTGGTGTCGCGTGGGGGCGCTCTGGGCAGACCTGCAGCAGCTGTGAGTCCTGTAAAGGGTGGGAGCCCCAGAAAAGATCTGGGGTGACTGAGTTGCGGGACTACTCGCTCCGCAAGGTAGCTGCTCTCTCCCGGGGGCAATCCGGGCTCCCTATTCCCTCTGCCGCTCCCTCCCCCTGAGTGAGGGGCTCAAGAGGGGCCTGAGGGGAGAGGCTGTGCCGCTCCCAGCGAGGGGGGGGGGGGCAGCGATGAGGCTGCAGTGAGGAGAGCTTGGCAGCTGCTTGAGTTGTTGCCGATGCCTCCCACCCCCCAAGAGCTTTGGCCCTGGTTGAATGGACATGACTTGGGGATGAGTGACTGCAAGATCCATGAGGCAAATGGACCACAGCATGAGAAGCGGGGACACACACACACACACACACACACACACACACACAGTGCTGGTTTCCCTGCCCCAGGAGCCTGGGTGAGACCAGCATCGCCGGCCTGGCCCTGCCCCCTCGGGCCGGCCTGCCCTCTGCTAGACTCTGGGCACTGCCCACACCCCACCTCCTGCCCACTCGGGGGAAGCTGCCCCGCCCGGCCGCCATCTGTAACCCACAGTCCACAGCCAGCCGGTGCCGATGGAGAGGAAGAGGAAGCTGTGGGTGAGCCGAGGGCCCCGCCATCCACAGAGCCAGCGCTCCCTGCAGGACAGGGCACGGGGGTGGAGGGCTGCTCTGACGGGGGCCTGGGAGCTCAGCAGGGCACCCATGGGCGCGGCGCACGAGGGGGCAGCCCAGCAGGCGGGGGCCTGTTCCTGGCTGTACCTGGAGAAACAGTCTTGGGGTTCCCCAATGCCACAGACACTGGGATTGGGGCACCCACAGCCGGAGGGATGCACCTTCAAGCCATGTTCTCAGAGGATGCCCCTGCTGTTCCCGGCCCCTCTGCGCCCCCTTCCCCTGCACCCCTGTCCACAGGGGCCCCCCACAGCCCTAGGCTCACGGCCCACTGCACTTCCTGGGTATAGGTAGCCAGAATTGGGGTGAGACACAGAGAAAACCGGGCATGGAGCCTCTGTCTCCTCTCGTCAGACCCCACCCCCAGGGAGAAGGAAGGGCTAGAGCTTACAATGGTGAGGTGAGGGCAGCTTAAAGCCTGCCCAGCTGAGCGACTCAGACTCCTGCCCTCCACCTGGGTGGCATCCAGGCTCCAGCACAGGCCAGGGGTGTGCACACCTGGAGCCGAAAGCAGGGGCGGCATCACCCCGTCCCAGCGCTCCGGGGCGCCCAGAGACAGTGGCGTCTAAGGGGGCTGCCTCCTGAATCACTGGGGTTCCTCCAGGAAGCAGGACCAGGGCGGGGGGTGGGTGAGGGGAGGCCTGGGAGGACACCTGACTGTGACAATGGAGAGAGATTGGGGGGGGGGGCGGTCCCTGAGCTGCATTCTAGGGCCTGTGCACCTGTCCAGAGAGTTTTCCCTCCTGTGAAATGGGGGCGCTGCTCAGCACCCTCCCCGCTCCACGGGAAGCCCACGTGAGTTTGTTTGCGCCACGTGAGTGTGGTCTGCTGAACGGCCACCAGCGGCGTGCCTCAGTCTCTGCTCCTCACGGCCCGGAGACGCCTCACCCGCCCACCCCGTTCACCATGTGCACCCCGTTAGCCCCCAGACCCCGGTCCGCACACCATGTGCACCCCGTTAGCCCCCAGACCCCGGTCCGCACACCATGTGCACCCCGTTAGCCCCCAGACCCCGGTCCGCACACCATGTGCACCCCGTTAGCCCCCAGACCCCAGTCCGCACACCATGTGCACCCCGTTAGCCCCCAGACCCCGGTCCGCACCCGGGCCCTGGGGAGTGGCTGCCCAGGGTGGGGGAGAGGCTCGGAGAGGCCGTGGAATGCGCCCGAAGTGCTGACCACGAGCTGAGGAGGAAGAGGATGTTGGGCCACTGGGGCCATGAGAACCCAAACCGACAGGCTTCCCAGGGGTTCCCCGCCACCTCCTTCCTCACCTGGGACAGCCTGCGGGCTCTGGCTGCTGTGCTGGCCAAGGGAGGGGCGAACCAGCCAGCGGCCAGTTCAGAAACCTCTCGTGTCTGCCTTCGGGAGCCACATTTGCCCTTGAGCTTGAAGACTTGAGTTTCTGACTTTCAGGGGGTGACCCCAATACCCAAGGCCTCAGCAAGGTCATAAGCTTCCCCACCACCACCACCCCCACCACCATGGTGACCTCCCTGCTCCCCTGTCTTCGGGGTCTTCCCACAGACACCTCCAGAGGCCGGTGCGGTGTGTGAGCTTCCACGGGCTACTGCGGCCCGATTCCTATTCCCTGCTCCTGGGCGCCTCCAGGAACCGGGAACAGGGAACAAGGAGGAGCCTGCACCTCAGAGAGAAGCTGCTCTCCTGGGAACCAGGCAGCCCAACTTGGCCAGCCACGAGCAGCACCATCGCCACCTGCTGGTTATTGCCTGAACTGCCAGCTCTTAGGGCAGGCAACCATTCCCATCTGCGTCAGGAAGGGGAGGGGCTCCTGTGGGGAGTGGGAGGGAGGGTGTGTGTGTGTGTGTGTGTGTGTGTGTCTGAGACCGCCATCCAGGGCTCAGACCTACATCCGGGTCCAAGACAGTCATGCCGGAGCACAGGCCTCGAACCCAGTATCCATTTTGTAATCAGGGTCCAGACCACCATTCTATGACCCAGAGGTCCAGCCCCTGACCCAGACCTCCACCTGGGCCCAGCCCGCCCTCCAGTGCCCAGACCTCCATCCGGGTCCCAGACCTTCATGCCAGGGCCGGGGTCTGGACCTCAAAAGCAGAATCCAGTGATGTGTCAGGGGGCCGGATCCCCATCCGTAGTCCAGACTAACATTCCATAACCCAGAGGTCCTGCTGAGGAGCCAGAGCTCTGCCCGTGGCCCAGACCTCCCCCCGGGGCCCACACTGCCCTCCCAGCACCCAGACCTCCATCCAGGGCTCAGACCTACATCCGGGTCCCAGACCTCGAACCCAGTATCCAGTTGCCGATCAGGGCTCAGACCACCACAGTAATCCAGACCACCATTCTATCACCCTAGTTCCTGCCCAGGTGCCCGAGCTCCCCCTGGGGCCCAGACCTCCCCCCGGGGCCCACACTGCCCTCCCAGCACCCAGACCTCCATCCAGGGCTCAGACCTACATCGGGTCCCAGACCTACATCGGGTCCCAGACCTACATCCGGGTCCCAGACCTCGAACCCAGTATCCAGTTGCCGATCAGGGCTCAGACCACCACAGAAATCCAGACCACCATTCTATCACCCTAGTTCCTGCCCAGGTGCCCGAGCTCCCCCTGGGGCCCAGACCTCCCCCTGGGGCCCAAACTGCCCTCCCAGCACCCAGACCTCCATCCAGGGCTCAGACCTACATCCGGGTCCCAGACCTTC